AATTAGCCAAAATCGTCTGAAGATAGTTAAAATTGACTGACATACAAATAATTAATGCATAGTTATTTTGACATAAATTTAATGTTAATTAAACTAATAATTGTTGATTAAGAATAGTAAAAATATTATAATTTTAGTTATTGACTAGTTTTTTGCTATCAAAGTAATTATTTTTAAATAATATTTAACTATGAGATTATGACGATTTGGCTAACTTTATATAAAAGTAGCATCAGTTTATTTATTTTAACATGTATTCTAAGTAAAAAACATAATATAAGAAATATTTTTTTAAAAAATATTGCAAAATAATTTGTACAATAATTCTATATTTTCTATATTCTATATTGTCGTTAAAACATATTGCTCTCTCATAGAGGAAGTATTTTTATTTTATTTATATCTGTATTTTGTCAGACATTTTCATAAAATAGAATTTTTTTGGTTATCATGTGCACTTTTCGAGGAAGTAACCCTTTTTTAAATGCTATTTTCCTCAAACTTGTGATTTGTTTTCATTCTAAGTAAAATATGGTATCCAGATGGGTCGCGGCTGCCGCGACCGTTGACTGCAAAAAAAAGGGTTCGGAAAAACCCAATACAATTTTCCCAGGATTTCGAGATTTTTTTATCACAATTGAGAAAACATTATGGCCATCTTGGTCAAGAACCGGACCAAGAAGTAATAATCCCGAAAAATGTTAAAATCAGTGAAAGCTACGCAATTCAGTATTTACCAGAATCAAGAATAAATACTTTTGAAAACTATAGATTACAAAATCTTTCCGCTTTCAAAATTGAATCAAAATGAATGATGTAAAAAGTTAAGTACGATATCTTTCTCCAAACGGACAGGAGTTTTTTAATAATTATTTTAAAAACATGAAATGTAGTAAATGAGATCATTTTGACAAAGAGTGGAAGCCTTAAACTAAATAAAACAAGAAAGTTAAATACAAGAAATATTATTGTAGTTGAGTTTTTTATATATAACAAAATAAAACATTTATGTTAAAAATAAATTTTATTAAATTTTATTTACTGTGAATATTAATTAATAATATTAATATTCAATATTAATTGACAAACACATTTTCAACGCGTTGCAAACGAACACCTTGGGACTCAATGTGTTCGAGGCGCGAGAAATCTGACGCACCATACGCTTTAAACATTAATAACTTTGTAAGCATTCATATCATGTTAATAAAATTTTACAGAAAACTTGTCCGTATAGTAATGAAAAACTTTGTCACTAGAAGTTTTTTGTACCTTAAAATTTCCTCGATAAACGAAGCGTTGAAAGTTGGAAAAACACGTTTTTTGCAACGTCTTTCGAAAAAATTAATAAACTTTTTATTAATTAAGATTTTGTAGTTTTAAAAGTATAGTTGGTTTCAGGAAGTCTTAATCTGTAAGTTCGTTTTTGTTTGATTACAAAATATGAAAAATCAAAAACGCCAGCACGAGTTAAAGACGTAAAACATTTAAATTTTTTGGTTTTCAAAAATTTAGTTTTTTCTTATTATTTCATAAACTAAAAAAGATATAAATTTATTTCTTAAAGAAAAAAGATGCGCATTTTCATTGTGTATAAATTTGTGTCATTAAATTTGAAAATTGAAAATGTTTGAAAATCGCACTATTGGTCAATAGTTATACGTGACAATCCACGCGTATCCCCTTTTAGAATCCGTCCCCTCAATTATTCTAAAAATATTTTTAAAAAATTCTTTATAAAAATTAAATTACTTTTATTGCAATTTTTAAATATATTCGTGAAAAAATTGAAAGAATTCAATTATTTTTAAAAAAAAATTTTAATAAATTCTTCGGGACAATTCAATTATTTTTATAAATAGTAAAATTCTCTTCGCAAGAATTCAATTATTTTCAATACAATTTTAATAAAATTCCTCTTCATAAAATTCAATTGCTTTCAAAATTTTTAATTAAAATTATTAAAGAATCTCCATTAGTTTAAAAAAAATTCAAAGAAATTCTTCAAAAGAATTTAATTAGGATTTTTAAAAATTTTAATAAAATTCTTCGCGAGAATTCAGTTATTTTCCTAATTAATAACATTCTTTGATCGAATTCTATTATCAAATTCTTTGATAAAATTCTTAGCAACAATTCGATGATTTTCAATACATTAATTTTAAAATTGAAAATATTTGAAAAGTTAAGAAACAAAAAAGCAAACAACTAACTTCAAACTGCGAGCATATTACTGGAACATTTACTTTATTATTATTAATTATTATTATTTTATCATTATTGAATAAATAAATAAATTATTATTATTATTATTATTAATATTATGATTATTACTGTTGTTGTTACTATTATTATTATTTTTATTATTGTCGTCATTATTATGAAAAATACAAAAAAAGAAGAAAAAGAAAAATTTTCCACCAATAATATTAAAAATTCTATTTATCATCAGCTTCAACATTATTGTAAAATAACGAAAATTAAAAAAAAAAAAAACGATTCATAATTCTAGAGTAGACTAATTATTATATAAGATTTTTAAAAGCATAAACAGGTCAGTTATTCTATATATATAGAGCTAATTCATATTTTCCAATATAAAATTTGTTGTCATCATAAATTTCGAGACAAATGAAAAAATGAAAAATTGAGAATAACAATGAAAAACAACAATTCATCAACAAATAATAAAGTATTTTCTACATTTAAAAAGATATTAGAAAAAAAATTAATACAAAAATAAAATTGCACGTTAAAATAATAAAAAAAAAAAACCCCATCAATTTATGCATGAAACAAAAAATTTACATTAATCTCAATGAATCGTATATTAATGTGATACATATATTAAAAAAAACATGTTAAACATATTTATTTACTTTAAAAATGAATTTATGACTATGTTAATATTATAAAAGTCGGATTGTGTGAAATAAACTTCGGAACTTATAATTTCAATTAATACTGATATTTTTTAGATCTAATTAATTGAATCATTAGATTTAAAATATTTTACTTTTGCCTTTAATGACAATTGTCTATGAATAAACAATTTTTTGTTATTACTATTATTATGAGAAAAACAAAGTGTACAATTTGATCTAAAACATAAGTTTTCAAATAAAAAGAAAAAAAAACGAGAATAATATTCGAAAGGAATATTAATATATTTTTATTATAATTTAATTATACCATTAATAGTTTAAAGGCTTTAAAGTTTTACTTTAATATCATTTATATCATATCGATATCGAAATTGATAACTTTAAGTTAAGATTGTTTATTCAGCTTGGTAAAGTTCTTATTTTTCTTCAAACGAACGTTACATCACAACTATTAAATAAAACTCATTGTAACGAATTGCAGTTACAAGTTATATCATTAATTGCCATTAAGTATGTATTGAACCAACTACTCTGGAATGAAGGCCACGTAATTATATCTCGAAAGGAGTATACTTTTTTTTCTTTCCTTTTTTTTAAATTTACAGTCATTAAATTTCGCTTATGACAAGAATTATAAAGAAGTCAAGTGCATTTTAATTTACTACTACTACTACTACTACTACTAAAAACATATTTTTTACTCTTTAAGTATTTCTAAAAATCTAATTTACCTGTTTTTAATAAAATATGCATATTTTTTGAAAAAATAAAAATTTTCCCCATCGCGACTGTAATATTTCATAATAAAAAAAAACAAACAATTAAAAAAAGGGGTTGAAAAATTAGTGAAAAAAAAGTGGTGACCCACTTTTCAACGCCCTCCTTGTCCTAGAAAGAGACAATCGATAATCTCGCATAGTTGAACTAGATATATATGATACTGTAATTGTAACTTTTTGCATTTGTGACAGATTGATATTTTGAACCATCAATAAACTTCCTTCTGGAAAAATTTCCCAAAAGAAACGACATTTTTAAAAGTCTGAAAACGAATTGTCAAAAAAAAACGAATCCGGAAAAAATGGGGGAAAAAATAAAGTGCAATTTAAAAAATTGCGTCGAATGCGGTGTTAAAGATTTTTTTTAAGATTTTCAGAAGCGTGGGAGTCAATGCCCGGTGAATGACAACATGCGGGGAACACACCCAACCTTTTACACACGGCGTTTAATGCCTTCCGGGAACCTTGGACAATCAGATAATGCACGAAAAGATGACCTCGGCAACGAATTTTACTTTAGTTCTCTAATCAGGGATTCGATAAATTAATGCAAACGGCGTTCTAGAAACTTCATTTACATTCTATATTTAAAATTAATATAATGCGCATTGTTCCAATGTAAACAAATTTGCAATAAAAATTTGTTCTTAAATGAAAATTAGATATCTTTTTCTCAACTCACCTGCCAATGGTAAAAGATAGACCGTAGAACAATTCATTCACTGCAACCACAAAAACTCAATGATTTCTTCAAGCCGCAACACTAGCGGCGTGTTATTTGTCATAAAACACTTAACATCACGATTGACAATCACAAAAACTTGAGATTTATGATGATTTTTATGTAAACAAGAACGTTAAAGTGAATTAGAATTCTAAAAATCCGTGAAATTGACGAAGTGGCGCAATTCGTCCATCTTGTCTGTTTTTCTCGGGTTGGGATTGACCTTTGGTTAATTAAAATATAGATGAGATGTGGATTAGAATTTTTTGACTATTTTAATGTTTTGTTTTGTCGCTAGGGCGCAGTGTACGTTGGTCACCAGGGTTGGGAAGTTGACCGTAGTGGACTATTAAAGTTCTATTCACAGGTCTATTATTGCAGGCGGAAAATTGCGCTGCTCTGAATTAACGAAATTAAAAAATAAATAATAAATTTACAATAAAGAAAAATACGAAGGTTGTTATTATGAAACGGTTAAAATTTGAATATGAAAGTAAAGACAATCAGGAAAATTACAAATATTAATAATTAATAATAGACCAATGTACAACTAGCGCCATAGGTGGAGATTGTTAATAGAGGGTTAACTTAATTTCAAAAGTAGAAAAAGGTTCTAATAGCAGAAGACATTTTTGTAAAAAAAAAACAACAAATAGAAGTATAGTCGAATTATCTTCTCATTTTTCCGATTTTTGCAAATAATTAATAAGTAAAACTCGTGTCTATTGAAGGAATATAATAAATAGTTTTATAAGTGTATTTAATTTAAAAAAAACAAAGAAGAAACGACCAGAAATCTTTAGAAGTAGTCTTGCCAATTTACCCGCCAAAAAAATCGGTATGAATTCCGAAAGTGAAAATGAATTAAATGATATAAATATTAGTAATTCTGAGGAAAATGCCTTAGAATTGCAAGAAGAAAATGATTCAGCGCCACAAATTGAAGAAGAAGTTCGAGAAAAATTAGTCCAATTGCCTTTGGGAAGAATTAAACATATCGTTAAAATGGATCCTGAAGTCAATCTTGTTAACCAAGAAGCTATTTTTCTAATTACTAAATCTACAGTAAGATATTTTTTTCTACCTTCTTTCATATTAAATCAAAAAAGTAAAAATAAATGTAAAAAATAAAGAATAAAAATTGATATTCTGCTATTATTTAGGGCTCAAACCATTGAAAGTATTTAAAAATACGGACTTTAAGGACCAAAAATGAAAACTTATGGACCAATTGCTGACATAATTATAAACAGTCCAAGTCAAATAAAAGAACATTTTACTTAAAACTATAAATTAAATTAACGATCGATTTCTTCATGTTTAATAATAATTAAAGATGACCGAGTTATAAAATCATCAATTCAATTATTATTTTCAAGAATTTTTAACTAAAATTCTTGAAGTCAATTAATTTTCGAAAAAATTCTCTGACAATTTTTAATTCCTTTTGTTTACAATATTTAATTTTACGAATTTTAATTATTCGTAAATTCTTCAATTAAATATAATATTAGAAAATAAAAAATTCAAATTATTTAAATACAAAAATAAATAGTTTATTGAATAATTCAACATTTCTTAAAATTCAATTCTCATAAAGAATTTTATTAACATAATTTTTAAATAATTAAATTCTTCCTACGATTTTTAATAAAAATTTTTAGAATAATTACATTTTCCGAGAAATTTGATTAAAATTGTTTTAAAAATAATTGAAATTCTGCGTTGCGTTTTATCATTTATGAAAATAATTGAATTCTTAAGAAGAATTTTATTATTTTTGAACATATAATTAAATTTCTGCGAAGGATTTTATTACTTTCGAAAACAATTGAATTTTATGCAATAATTTGTAACTTCTCAAAAATTAAAATTTTCTATAGTGTTTTAACTAAAAATTTTCTATAAATTCATTGTTTTTAATAATTTTATGAAAAAGTTTTTTGAGAATTTTCAAATTCAATTGTTTTTAACTGAAATTCATTTTTAAATCAATTTTTATTAGAAAATTCTACTAGAATTCAATAATTTAAATTCAAAAATAAATTAATTTATTCAATATTTCAATGTTTTTTAAAATTAAATTTTCATAAAGAATTTTATCAACAAATTTTTAATAATTGAATTTATTTGACGAATTTTAATAAAATTTTTGAAAATCCTAATTAAATTCTTTAAAAGAATTTCTTTTAGGTTTTTGAAAATAATCTAGTAGTTTCTATAATAATTGTAATTTAAAATTTCGAAAATAATTGAATTCTTTCGATAAATTATACTATTTATAAAAATAATTGAATTCTTGCGAAGAATTTAACAATTTATAAAAACAATTGAATTGTTTCAATGAATGTTATTATTTACGAAAATAATTTAATTCTTGCGAAAAATTTAACAAATTATAAAAATACTTAAATTCATTCGAAGAATATTATTATGTATTTAAGAAAATAATTGAATTTTTGTGAAGAATTTTATCATTATTAAATTTGAAAAAATTAAATTCTTGTAAAGAATTTACCAATTTATAAAAACAATTGAATTATTGTAATTTATGTTATTATTTACGAAAGTAATTAAACTTTTGTGAAGAATTTTATCAAAAATTTGAAAATAATTAAATTTTGAGAATTATCAAATTCATTTGTTTTTAAATTAAATTCATTTTTCAATCAATTTTTATAAGAAAATTCTACGAGAATTCAATTATTTAAATTCAAAAATAAATAATTTATTGAATAATTCAATGTTTCTTAAAATTGAATTCTCATAAAGAATTTTATTAATGTCAAGTTTTTTAATAATTGAATTCCTTTGACGAATTTTAATAAAATTTTTAAGAATAATTACATTTTTCGAGGAATTTAATTAAAATTTTATTAAAAATAATTGAAATTCTGAAATGAGTTTTATTATTTAAGAAAATAATTGAGTTCCCAAAAAGAATTTTATTATGTACAAAAATAATTGAATCCCAGTAAAAATTTTATTATTTATGCAAATAATTAAATTGCGAAGAAATTTATAAAAAAATTTGTAAATAATTGAATTCTTGTGAAATTTTTATTATTTTATGGAAATAATTAAATATTTTAATAGAATTTTATTTTAAAATTTTAAAATCTTATTAAAATTTTTTTTAAATAATTGAATTGTTTTGGAAAATTTTATTAAAATAGTATAGTTATTGAAAATCATTGAATTGAGTAAAATTTTTGAAAATAATTGAAATTTTGCCAAGAATTTTATTAAAATTTTTGAAAATAATTGAAATTTGTAGAAGAATTTTATTATTTCTAAAGATAATTGAAATTTTGACGATAATTTTTTAAAATTTTTTAACATAATTAAATTTCTGTGAAGAATTTCGTTACTTTTAAAAATAAGGTTGAATTTTTGCAATCATCTGTAATTTCTCTAAAATTCACCAAATTATGTCGTACAATTTACGAACTTTTCGTCCTTTTTCAATCAAATTACGGACCATTTTTAAAAAAAACTGACTTTTACGGACCTTTACGGGATTTACGGACCTAGTTCGAGCCCTGTTTCGTATAAAATGAAAAAAGTGAAAATGAAAGTAAAAAATAAAGAATAAAAATTGATATTTTGCTATTATTTTAAAATTTCTTTTTTTTCCAGGAGCTGTTTATAGAATCACTTGCAAGAGAGGCTTATAAATACACGTCACAGTCAAAAAAGAAAACAGTACAAAAACATGACATTGAAAGTGCCATTGACAATGTAGACGCTCTTGTTTTCTTAGAGGGAGCAATGTAAGGATGTATATTAATGAATCATTTACTATTTATATTTTTCTACTTTATTCTAAGTGTTAAATGCTTGTAAAATAAAAAAAATTTTCAATATCTCTGCACAAAATTTATTAGAATATTATTATGAACATTGCTCATTGTTTGAGTGACAGAATGAAAAGAAAATCAGTCTTAATCCTTGCCTGTCAATTTTTTTTTCTATTTCAACTTGGAGCAGCCGTAAAAATGCTCTTTACACAAAAAATAGAATGTTACAAAGCTTGAAACTTTCTTGAAGTAAACAGTATAAATACTATTAACATACTGTTAATTTTTTCTTACAATATAAGAAATTAATAACTAAATTCACAATGATAAAATTATCCATAAGTTAAAATTCAAATTACTAAAATTATCATATAAATTCAGAAATTAATCGTAATTCTTTAAGAGAATTTTTTTTCTTTAAGAGCAGGACTTACTGAATTTTCTTTTAACGTCAATTGACATATCAGTATTAAAAATAATGAAGAATTCTCTTTTTTTCAATAATTTTCTTGCACGAGAAATAGTTTATATCTCAATCGATATACTCAATAAAATATAAAACTCGCCTAAACAAAATTAAACTTAAACCGAAAAAAGTAGCATTTACAAAAGTATTTGTATCACCATTTATAAAAATAATATTTTTTTCCAAAACAAAAAAATAAGCATATGACATAAATTGCTCTTGAATGGACATTAATCGATTATACAAATATCTCTTAAATTATTATTATTATTTAAATTTATGCCTGTTGTCATTTGATGCAAACTTGAGGGCTTTTTTTTTAAAAAGAAAAGCAATTGAAAATTGAAAAGTTGATTCAAAAGCTCTTTCTCTTTTTAAAGATCGAAAAACATGTTCTCCATCAACGTTACAAACGTTGAATTTTTTCTAAAAGACGAGTTAACCTTCTCTTATAATAAGATTAATCTTATCACTCAAAGAAAGAGTTAGTACTTAATACGAGAGTATCATCATTTTTTTTTTGTTAAAAAAAAGAGAGAAAAAAATATAATAATTAGATTAGTGTTTTTTCTTGAGAAACATTAATGACAGTAAATCTTACATCACGCATTTTGTAAAACTTTTTCACTTCTTGCGTTTAGTTTTACGTTTTCGATTATCGCCTTTATTTTGTTCGGCTGAATTTGCTCCACCTGCTTTACTGTGGTTGCAGAGATTATTGATGAAATCTTCAAAATCCGCCTCACTACGAAAAGGAGAATCGAATTAATTATGTAAATTTTGCCTAAAATTAAACGCTTCACGACGAAAGCATAAACAAATCTAAAGTCTCAAAAATTATATTTTGGGACCTAAAAATACAAATACAGGGTTGCCACAAAAGTTTAATTTTGTTTTTCCCTGATTTCCAAACAAAATTTTGACTTTTTGCTTGCCCTTAAAGAATATTCTGATTCACTCTAAAAATAATAATTAGATACTCAAAAAAATGTTCTATTACATTTATTTAAGAATTTCCTTAATTGTAAAATTATTCGAAAACACTAATAACTTCATTTTTAAATAAATATTTAATCATTATTATTTTCCATGGGAACTAAGACTTTTAAAATTTCTAATTCAAACCTTTTGAAATTTAATAATTTATAAGAATATTTTCATGTTTTATAAAAATTAAAGATGACCGAGTGATAAAATCATTATTTTACATTATAAGAATATTATTACTGTAACTTATTTAAAATTATTTTCATAATTTCAATTCAATTATCATTTTTTAGACTTTTTAACTAAAACTCTTCTTAAAATCAATTATTTTTAATTATTTTTAACAAAGTTCTTTGAGAATTTTCAAATCAATTTGTATACTATTCAATTTTACGAAATTTCATAAATTTTTCGTAAATTCTTCAATATTGTATATTAAAAAATAAAAACTTCAAATAATTTTTTTAAAAAATTCAATTAATTTAAAAAAAAATTAATTCTACAGAATCGTTAGTTAAAAGTATGAAAAATTCAAATATTCAAAGATTTTAATTTGAAACCTTTTCAAGATTTAATTATCTCTAAAAATTCACGCAACAATGTTTTTAATATTCAATTATAATCTAAAATTTTAAGTAAAATTCATTTTTTAATCAATTTTTATTAGAAAATTCTTCGAGAATTCAATTATTCAAATACAAATACCTATAAATAATTTGTTGAATAATTTATTGTTTCTTAAAATTGAATTTTTATAAAGAATTTTATCAAAATTTTTAAAAATAATTGAACTCTTTCGACGAATTTAAAAAAAAATTTAAGAATAAGTGCAATTTTATATCATTTTATTTAAAATTCTATAAAAAATAATTGAAATTCTGCGATAAGTTTTATTATATGTAAAAATAATTGAATTTTTGAAACGGATTTTATTGAAAATTTTTTCCAAAGAATTGACTTCCTGTGATTTTATTTTATTAAAATTTTATTCAAAATAATTGAATTTTGCAAACAATTTTATTATTTATGAAAATAATTGAATTCCTTCGAAACATTTTATTATTTACGAAAATAATTGATTTCTTGTAAAGAATTTTATTCAAATTTTTTGAAAATAATTTAATTTCTCAGAATTTTTTATAACTTTTTGAAAATAATTAAATTTATTCGAGAAATTTCATTAAAAAATTGTGAAGAATTTTATTCAAATATTTTTAAATAATTGAATTCCCATAACAAATTTGATTATTTGTGAAAATAATTGAATTCCTAAGAAGAATTTTATTGAAAATAATTGAAGTGTATCAGAAAATTTTATTAAAATTGCAATTTTATTAACTAAATCTTGTAAAAAATGTTTTCAAAATTTTTTTAAGTAATAGAATTATTTAAAGAATTTTATTTAAAGTTTTCAAAATAATTGAATTTTCTCAAAACTATTTTCTTAAATTCTCTCAATATAATTAAATTCTTTCGAGAAACTTCATTAAAAAATTAAAAATAATTGAATTGGTGCGAAGAAATTTATAAAAAATTTGTAAGTAATTGAATTTCTGTGAAATTATTATTAAAATTCTGTTTAAATAATTGAATTGTTTTGTAAAATTTTATTAAAATAGTAGATATTAAAAATAATTGAAATGAAAAAATGTTTTGAAAATAATTGAAATTTTGCAAATAATTTTTTTTTTTAAATAATACTAATTGAATTTCAGAGAAGAATTTTATTATTTAATAAAAACGATGAGATAGTCGATCACTCCGAGCCAGGATTTTAATTATTTGTAAAGTTAAATTTTATTATTTGTAAAGATAATTTAACTTTTGACGAGTATTTTTTATAAATTTTTAAACATAATTGAATTTCCGCAAAGAAGTTTATTATTTTTGAAAATAATTGAATTTCTGTAACCAGTGGTAACTTCTCAAAAATTCCATTTTTTTTTTTATTGATTTCAACTAAAATCTATCTATAAATTTATTATTTTTAATAATTAATTAAATGCGTATTAAAAACTTTAACTAATTCCAAAAGAATTTAAATTATTAAAATTCTTCAAAACCTAAGTTCTTTAAAATTTCTAATTAAATTCACAAAAAAGACACCAAAATTCAGAATTTTCTTTTGAGTTCTAAAAATTTAATGTTTGCAGTACTTTTAATAAAAATCCCTGATTTTTCCCTGAATTCCCTTACTTCCCTGACCTGTGGCAACCTTGAAATATTAAAAATACTAAAAATACCCAAAACTCTGTTTACCTTGTATTATTTTCCGTTTGTTGTCGTTTTTTACCACTGGAGGGAGATTGAGTCGGCAGTCGTTGTCCTAAAACAATTCTATACTGGACACTGTGTGTATTTGCTCTAAGATGCTTTAAATTTCCAGCTTGACATGCAGCCCAATCGGTCACATCATAAACTGCACCCTCCATACAAGCATAGTAGTGCCACAAAAAGCCCATTACACGAGATTCCGCCCAAATGTCACCCTGAGTAAAGAAAAAGTACAAATAAATTTTTTTTTTCATTTTTCCTTATTTGATTTGAATAAAAACAATTGCTTACCTCTTTCGCACTATGACGTATCTTGCACTGTGCACAAAATCGAGCAGCATAACAAGGTCGTTGAGTTGGAATTCTCTTGTGTCGTAAACCACAATTTGTACATCTAATTGTATTTGCAGCTTGCTCCATTTTTCTGTGCAATTGCGACAATAAATCACTCAATTCACCCCAGGCAGCCTCCACTTGTCTTGTTTGATCAAACGCTTGTCTTAATTCCTGAAAAATTCAAATGCCAAAAATTACTAAATTACTATTTCTATTTCTATTTGTTTGTTCCTACTACACAGGGCTCGAACCTACGGACTTTACGGACCAAAAATGAAAATTTACGGACCATTTACGGTCCAATTACTGACAAAAATATAACCAGTCCGAGTCAAATAAGAGAACATTTTACTTAAAATTATAAATTAAATTTCTTCATTACTATAAAACATGAAGATATCAATTTCTTCATATTTTATAATAATTCAAGATGGAAAACTGATAAAATCATTATTTTACATTATAAGAATATTGTACTTCTTCAAAATTATTTTCATCATTTCCATTCAATTATTATTTTCAAGAATTTTTAACTAAAATTCTTCTTTACATCAATTATTTTCGAAGAAGTTCTCCGACAATTTTCAAATCCATTTATTTACAATATTCAATTTTACGAATTTTAATTATTCGTAAATTCTTTAATTAAATATATATTAAAAAATAAAAAATTCAAATATTTCTAAAAATTCACGCTCTAATGATATTAATTTTGAATTATTATCTAAAATTTTAACTAAAATTCATTTTTAAATCAATTTTTATTAAAAAATTCGACGAGAATTCAATTATTTAAATACAAAAATGAATAGTTTATTGAATATTTCTTAAAATTCAATTCTCATAAAGAATTTTATTAACTAAATTTTTAAATAATTAAATTCTTCCTACAATTTTTAATAAAAATTTTAAGAATAATTACATTTTCCGAGAAATTTGATTAAAATTGTTTTAAAAATAATTGAAATTCTGCGACGAGTTTTATTATTTGTGAAAGTAATTGAATCCCTAAGCAAAATTTTATTATTTTTGAAGAGTATTATTACTCTTAAAAAGAACTGAATTTCTGCAATAATAATAATAACTTTTCCAAAATTAAATTATTTTCGTGTTTTTAATTAAAATTCTTCTAGAAATGCATTATTTTTAATAATTTTTGAAAAAGTTCTTTATAAATTTTCAAATTTATTTGTTTTTAATTTAATTTTACAAACTTTTTATTAGAAAATTCCACTAGAATTCAATTATTTAAATACAAAAATAAAGAATTTAATTGAATGTTTCTTCAAATTAATTTCTTTTCATGAATTTTAATAAAATTTTAATGAATAATTGTATTTTTCAAAGAATACATTAAAAAATGTATTAAAAATAATTGAAATTCTTCAACAAGTTTTATTTTTTATGAAAATAATTGCATGATTGTGAAGAAAGCTATAAAAAATTTGTAAATAATTGAATTCCTGTAAAATTTTTATTATTTTATGAAATTAATTAAAGGTTTGGGTAGAATTTTTTTATTTTTTAAATAATTGAATTCTTTTGAAAAATTTTATTAAAATAGTAGATATTAAAAATCATTGAATTGAGGAAAATGTTTGAAAATAATTGAAATTTTAACAAGAATTTTATTACTTTTGAAAATAATTGAAATTTGGAAAAGAATTTTATTATTTCTAAAGATAATTGAAATTTTGACGATAATTTATTTAAATTTTTGAACATAATTAAATTTCTGTGAAAAATTTTATTACTTTTAAAAATAGTTGAATTTTTGCAATCATTTGTAACTTCTCAAAAATTAAAATTTTTTTAAGTGTTTTTAACTGAAATTTTTCTATAAATCCTTTGTTTTTAATAATTTTATTAAAAAGATTTTTGAGAATTTTCAAATTCATATTTTTTTTAACTGAAATGCATTTTTAAATCAATTTTTATTAGAAAATTCTACTAAAATTCAATTATTTAAATTCAAAAGTAAATAATTTCTTGAATAATTCAATGTTTCTTAAAATTGAATTCTCATAAAGAATTTTAACAAAAAAATTTAAATAATTGAATTCTTTTGACGAATTTTAATAAAATTTTTAAGATTAATTACATTTTTCGAGGAATTTGATTAAAATTTTATTAAAAATAATGGAAATTCTGCAATGAATTTTATTATTTATGAAAATAATTGAGTTCCTAAAAAGAATTTTATTTTTATTATGTACGAAAATAATTGAATCCCCTGTAAAAATTTTCTTATTTAAAAAAAAAATAATTTAATTATTGCGAAGAAATTTATGAAAAAAATTGTAAATAATTGAATTCCTGTGGAATTTAAATTATTTTATGAAAATAATTAAATGTTTGCGTAGAATTTTATTAAAATTTTTTTAAATAATTGAATTGTTTTGGAAAATTTTATTAAAATAGTAGATATTGAAAATCATTGAATTGAGGAAAATTTTTGAAAATAACTGAAATTTGGAGAAGAATTTTATTATTTCTAAAGATAATTGAAATTTTGATGAGAATATTTTAAAATTTTTGAACATAATTAAATTTCTGCAAAGAATTTTATTACTTTTAAATATAATTGAATTTCGGCAATCATTTGTAATTTCTCTAAAATTCACCAAATTTTATTGTACAATTTACGAACTTTTCGTCTTTTTTCAATCAAGTTACGGACTTTACGGACCTTTTTTCAAAAAATTGATTTTTACGGACTTGAAGCAAATTTACGGACCTTTGCGGGATTTACAGACCAAGTTCGAGTCCTGTACTACATTATAAAAAATTTGTTTTTGTAATAGTGAGACTCAAACATTAAAGACTTGATTAACATTTTTCTTTTGTAATTTGTTATCAGTGATATTTACCGGTTCGCCAATTAAGTCAAAGGCGTGGACGAGAATTTTGAAAGCCTCCTCAGCGCCTGGCTGATTATTTTTGTCCGGATGCACGAGAAAGGCTTGTCGTTTATAATACTTTTTAATATCATCATCGGAACATGTGGGTGTTACTCCAAGTATACTGTAAGGATCCTTTCCCTTGCAAGCGAGCAATCGTTTCATTGCCTCTTCACCCGTACTCGGCAGGGCAATATTTGCCTCCAGACCACCGTGTATCCATCCAGCCGGTGTGTCCTCCTTTTCCTCGCCTTTTGTTCGTAATTTTCGCCAAAATGCAAATTTACTGCTACCCAACCAGCTGTCCATTTGCTTGCCGAATGCATTCAGAAATCGTATTTTCGAAAATGACGTCGCCAGGTACATCCATGAGTATTTTAGATAGAGAATCGTGTGAAACCATCCACATTTTCCACTGGAAGATTTCAAATAATAAATTCGAATTCAAAGAAAATAATTTTAAATTCAAAAAAATAGATTAAAATTCAAAGAAAATAAATTCAAATTAAAAAATTTATTCAAATTTTAAATATTTCTAATTAAACTCTTTTGAAGGATTTCTTTGAATTTGCTTAAAATAATGGAATTTTTTTTAATAATTTTAATTGAAAATTTGGAAAGTAATTGAATTTTATGAACAATTGCTTTCAAGTTATTAAAATAATCGTGTTTCTTAATAATTGAAATTAATCATTTAATAACATTTTTAGAAAATAATTAAATTCTTCTTAGAATTTTATTACAGTTTTCTAAAATAATTTAATTCCTTCAAGGAATTTTATTAAAATATAGAAAATAATTGAATTGTTTCAAAAAATTAAACTCTTTTAAACAATTTTATTACAGTTTTTATAAATAAGTAAATTCTTTTGAAGAATTTCTTTAAGTTTTTAAGAAAATAATGTAGTTTTTTGAATAATTTTAATTAAAAATTTTGAAAATAATTGAATTAAACAAAGAATGTTGATCAAATTTTTAAGATAATCGTGTCTGTTAATAATTATATTTAAATTGAATTGAATTGAATTCTTTTGTGAAATTTTATTAAAATTTTGTTGAAAATATAAACAATAATAATTAATTATTTATGTACTTAATAAGTAAATTTTTTGAATTTTGATTATGAAATTATTTAAAAATTTATATTTAAAAATAAAAAATTTTGTAATTTTCATAATAATAATACATTCAATATTCAAAGAAAAATAGTAAAAATTCAAAAAAATAAATTAAAATTCAAAAACATATGAGGCATTCCATTTCAAAACGACCCCCTTCGTAAACAATTGCCAATGTAAGACAATTTTTAAATGAATATTTCTTCCATTCTGTAGAACCAAATTACTTTTTATATTAGTGATTTCGAAAGTAGAATTTCTGAACTTTCTGATAATAAAAAAATATTTTTTTTTAATAATTTAATTTAAATAGAAATTTGAGTTTAAAAGTTAAACTTTGAAAAACCTTAAAACACGTTATCTCCGATTTTAATAAAATTCATATCAAACGAAAGCTTGAATATTCTTCTTTTTATTTATCAAACGATAATAATGGACAATTCAGTGGATTTTGAGAAAATAATTAATTTTACAAACATTTCGAAGGTTATATTGAGAAAACCATTTATTAAGTATAGGGCGGCATTTGTTTTTCTCAATTTATGCATAATAACCTTCTAAATGTCTGTAAAATTTAATTAATTAATTAAAATTTACTGAAATGTCCATTATTATCGTTTGATAAATAAAAAGAAGAATATTCAAGCTTTCGTTTGATATGAATTTTATTAAAATCGGAGGTAACGTGTTTTGAGATTTTTCAAAGTTTAACTTTTAAACTCAATTTTCTATTTAAATTAAATTATAAAAAAAATATATTTTTTTATTATCAGAAAGTTCAGAAATTCTACTTTCGAAATCACTAATATAAAAAGCAATTTGGTTCTACAGAATGGAAGAAATATTCATTTAAAAATTGTCTTACATTGGCAATTGTTTACTAAGGGGGTCGTTTTGAAATGGAATGCCTCATATACATAAAAATGCAAAAAGAAATTAGAAGTAAATTAAAATAAAAACAATAAGTTAAAAATAAATAAAAATTATTATTTTGAAGAATGTTTTTATTTACGAAAATAATTGAATTTTTGTGAAGAATTTTATCAAAAAATTTGCTAATAATTAAATTCCTACGAAGAATTTTATTACAATTTTAGAGAATAATTGAATTCTTTCGAAACATGATATTAAAATTTTTTAAATTTTGAATCCTTTCCTGAAATTTTCATAAAATTGTATTCAAAATAATTGAATTCCTACAAAGAATTTTACTATTTATGAGAATAATTGAATCTTCCGAAGAATGTTATTATTTATGAAAATAATTTAATTCTTGCGAAGAATTTATGAAAATTTTTAAAAATTCAAAGAAAACAATTGGAAATTCAAAACAATAAATAAATAAAAATGAATAAGAAATTAGATACGTACATAAATTAAAATAAAAAAAATAATAAATTCGAAATAAGTTAAAATAAAAATTATAATTAATATAATTATAAAATTATAATATAAAGAAATTAAAATAAAAAAAAATTTAGGAGTAAATTTCAATTAAAGAATGAAGTAAAAATAAAATAAAATAGAAATATAAAAAAATGTACAAATACGAAAAAAAATATTGCATAGAAAAAAAAAGTGAATACTCACAGCTGAATAACGAGGTTCGCGCTCATACTAAAAACATCGGAAATCAAATGAAACAGCCAGTAAAAAATCTTGAGAATTATTTTACTCCAACGTATAACGTATTTGTTTAAATTACGATAAACATCTTTAAATGCTGATTCACGATTTTCACGTTTTCGACTGCGTTGACCTTTTCTTATTTGTTGTGCTTTTTCAGCTTGGAAGCGCTTTGAATTTTTTTCCTTAACAGTCTTTTTATCATCCTTGCCGACTTTATTATTGGCCTGTTGATTTTTTTCAATTTTATCAGTTGAAACAGTTTGACTGAAACTATTAATAGTATTTAAATTATTATTTATTTGAATTGGTTTCTTTTGCACATTAACACTTGATTTTGTATTGTAATTTGGAATTTTCGAATTATTCAAAGTTTCATTTTTATCTGTTTTCTTTGATGTTTTTAGGGGACGTTTCTTTTCAAAATTATCCGATTTATTGAATGAATTTAATTCAGTTTCTGATGGTGAACCAAGATTGTCCAATGACACCCAGCGACGGGATAAATTGGAATTTTTATTTTCAATTATTTTCTTTGGTCCTTGGACCTTCGGTGAATTATGATCATCACTGCCGGATGAATTTTGTCTCTTTAATACGGCGGGTTTTGATTTTGTTTTTTTATTGCTGACAATTTTTTTTGCTGTTGGTTCGGGTTTGGGTTTTATTGGCGGCGCTGTTTGGGGTGACGATGGAGTTGGTGCGGATTTTGTCAGGACGTCGGAATATGATGGTCGCATGGGTTTCACTTCGGCAATTGCACGCGGTTTCTTTTGATAGGCATCGGGCGCTGCTCGGGGTAATTCGTCGGTGTCTTTAACTTCGGTTGTTGATTTTGGAACGGGAAATACATTTGGTGAACCGCCGAATGGACTGTATGTTCCCGATTGATTTGGCACCCAATTGCCAACGAGATTGTCGATCAATTGCTTTGAATTGGAATTCTGTGGTGTTAAATTTGAGGACATTTGTTGATTTCCAAAGAGACCGTATTCTCGATCAATTAAAGTTTGATTATTGAATGAATTTAGATTATTAATTTGACATTGTTCGGCCATTATTTGTGAAGCGTTGCCATAGATGACGTTGATGAAATTCCCGCCGCCAACATCAATGGTACCAACTAGATCGTTATTTTCATTAATGCCCAAATGATTCACTGCTTGTGGGGGGAAATAGATTTGTTCTGGCATCGGAGAATCGTATTGCTGTGTTTCCGGATGCATATAAACTGGTGTTGACATTGAATTCATTGATTGAATATTTGTCGTATTTGGATGTGCAGTTGGTCCCGGCATGTAACGTTGTATTCTATTTGGATTGTAATCCGACCAATTGTGTGACGTCGATTGTTGTGACGGCATTCCAAATTGAACATAATGTCCAGCAGAATTCTCCAGATCTGCTGTCACCACTTCGATAATTTGATCCAATGACATTCGTTCAAATTCCGATGGTGTATGCTTTTGTTCTGTCATCTTTTTTTCCTATCTAAAAAAAACAATTTTCCATTACTTCGACAAAAAATAAAAACAGTTCATAAAAATTTAATTACAAAAAAAATACGCTAAGAAATTATCACAGCTGAAAAAACAAATATTAAGTCCGCTTGACGTAGAAAAGAAGCCATGAAAATAACAATGACGAAAACGTTAATCTATAGAGCCAATGACCTTTCAATATACACATGTTTCAAAAATCTTCATAATTCAATCAAATTTTACTCCGCATTTTGGAAATATTCTAGAACTACTTCTATATGACGATAAAAATTTTGTTGTTTACGGAAAAATACTCAAAATACGAGTGTTGCAACATTTTCTGTTTGTGTGGGTGTTAGACCCCAAATGCATAACAATCTCCCAAAATATTAAGGAAAATGGAAAAAGAACCATATGCTCATTCTATAAAAAAATATAGAAAATACAAATTTATGAAACAAATACAATAAATAAAAACCATGCAATTTTTCTCGAGATTAGGTAATAAATTTAATTTGCGCTCGTAACCTAAAAATGACAAGGGTTACGAATAGTTTTTCATCGAATCAAGATAATGATACACGGGAATTATTCATTTTCAACTCACCTTTATTATAGATATCCGGTTATATCAAAACATATACTGCATGTTGTAAGAATGATCACATTAAGCACAATTTGTGAGATAAACCACGCGGTATGTGCAAAATCTCCATTCCGATATGACCACTTCTCGTTGATTCGCGTTCTCTCTTTCTCTTTCTCTCTGTCTTTTCTCTTGTCGTATACGATGGTATACGACAAGATTTATTCAAGTCGCAACACGTTCACTGTATATACTTCGGTTTAACTTTTGCAATTATCATAAAATCTAGGAGAGCTCTACTATATCCCTCTCTCCCTCAATCTTTCTCTCACTTGTTTATATTTAATCGTTCAAGGACAAAAGAAAAACAGCTCTTTTATGTATAAACAATATACACTGTTTTTAAAAATCGTTATACTGTACTTATTCCCCTTTTTCTTTGTTTATAATTTTTTAAATTCTCCTATTACTCACTTTTAGACACTTTTTTCCCTTGAATTAAATTTTGTAATTATTAATAATGTAGTTGAATAGTATTCTAAATAATAATTTGCGTTATTTTCCTTTGCAAAATTTTTATGATACCTAGACAGATTGAAAAGGAAAATGGACAATTTCTATTTATTAAAGCGTTATTCACAGGGAGGAAAAGTTTATTCCAGGTTAGCCAATAATGCATTTGATCTGTTTGAATTTTCTTTTTAAATTTACTGATGTATTGATAATTTAAAAATCAATTATTTTTATTTGTTGACGACTGCAAAAAAAGGAGAATCTTGTATACAAAAAATTATTTAATAATTTTTTATTTTTTTTTAACACAACACGTCTTTATGTCACGTTCATAGTATTTGTTTTGGTAACACTGAATTAACGCCTACATTCAAGTCGAACCCACATTTTCTGATTTAAAATTCGTCTGACATTTTTTTTTGTCTTAACACGTGTTTTTGTGATTGTTTAGTAATTTTACAATAATAATGACTAAAAAATCGTTGAAAAGAAAAAGAGAAGCTAAAGAAGAAAATGAAGTGCAAAATGAAATTGAAGAATTACCACCAGCAAAGCGAATGTCAGATGAACCTACTCCGAAAAAGGTTTATTTCTAACCTATAAAATTTATTTAACATAAAATAAGATAGAAATAGAAAGCTAAGAAATAGTTCATTTTTCGCTACTAAAAAATTTATTTTCTATTAAAATGTTTAATTTTTCAATGTTTAAACATAAATTTCTGTTATAGACAAAATGGATAAATAGACAACGAGTTTTAGTATTCGCTTCTCGAGGAATTGGCTTTAGACATCGACATTTAATGGATGATATTAAAAAATTAATGCCACACCATCGAACAGAGGCAAAAATGGAGAAAACGAAAAATTTGCAAGTTATTAATGAAATGTGCGAAATGAAGAATTGTAATAAGACAATTCTTTTTGAAGGCCGACAAAAAAGAGATCTGTACATGTGGTTCTCTAATGTTCCCGATGGTCCCTGTGCTAAGTTTCTAGTTGAAAATAGTGAGTTTTTTCAAAAAAGGAAAAAATTTTTTTTTTATTTTAATTTCTATTAATGTTATTAAATTTTATTTCAGTCTACACAATGGGAGAATTGAAAATGACTGGAAATTGTTTGAAAGGATCACGTCCTTTGCTCTCCTTCGATGAGAATTTCAGTAAAAAACCACAGTTTGCACTTTTAAAGGAACTCTTAACACAAATATTCGGTGTGCCCAATCAACATCCAAAAAGTCAACCGTTCTTTGATCATGTTTATACGTTTAGTATCCTTGATAATAGGATATGGTTCAGAAATTATCAAATTTTAACCGAAGACGGTGGATTGGCAGAAATAGGGCCACGTTTTGTTTTAAATCCTGTGAAAATATTCTCCGAAAGTTTCGGCGGTGAGACACTTTGGAATAATCCCGATTACATTTCCCCTGCGAAGGTAAGAAAGAAGAAATTTCTTATATTAATTGCAAATAAATAGTAATAATAATAAAATTAATTTCTGTTCTATTTACGTTTATTATTGAATTTTACAGTTCCGTCAGGCTTTCAAGAAACGAGCAGCAGGAAAATATGAAAATCGAATAGAACAAAAAATTATTCAAAAGGCGAATAAAATGGAGAAGACGTATGCTCTTAATCCAACAGATGAAATTTTCAAAGGTGATATATTGGCAAAGGCAACGGAAATTGAAGAGGAGGAAAATACAGGAGAGAAAACAAAAATAACCCCGAAAATTACTAAAAAAGTAAGAAAATTCAAAAAGACCAAAAAGCCAGGTAAATGAATTAAGATTTGTAATATAAAGACCACTTTTTTATTTTATAATAAAAAATCAAGTTTACAATATATCGCTGGGTGTCAATTTAATACAAAAAATATTTATAAATAAGCAGAGTTTAAAATTCGCAAAATATTCTTTAGAAATTTGTATTTTCTAACATTTTCAATTAAAAGTATTATAATTTTTTCTTTCATTTTTTTCAAATTACTAGCACTTCTAATCTGAAAAATTAAAATTTTCAAACCCTGCTTAAAAATAATTATAAAATAATTGCAATTAATCGAAGGAAATTTTACAAATTAATAATAAACACAGAATATTCTAATAAATTCGATTACAATTTGAATATATATAAACTATTTTCAAGTAATAAAAAAAAGGATTTAATAAGTATGATGAAACTGCAAAATACACGGCAGTACATAGCCTTACAATAATTTCTTCGTAATATACGTTAAAAAGTGGTAAATAGGCAAAAAATTGCTTTCAGTGCTTGTGTTCACACACAATTTGAATGTGTATACATAGTATAAAAATTAATCATATTTTTTTTTGTAAATAGATATTTAAAAAATAAACGCACTTTACGTATAAATAACTTTGATTAAAAATAGTTTTGTAGATGGAATTCGAAAAAAATTTAATTCCTCTTTTTGTGATTTTTGTGCTAAAAAGTGTTTCGTGCAATCACAACTATCAATATATATTTTTTAGATTAAAAAATGAACTTTTTTTTATTTTCGTTCCACTTTTTTAAAAATATTCAAAAATATTCCATTATATTCAAAATCACACAAAGCAATATTTTGATGAAAAAAAATAATTCCGTGCCTGTATGATAATTATTAATTACTTTGTACGTTAAATAGACGCAAGCATCTGCTTGACTTGTTTTCTCTTTTTAAATTTCATTTTCGTATACATATTCGATTATAAAAACCTTCTTTCTCATAAGGCAAAATTGGTAAAAAGTAATTAAGTATTTAAAAAGGTAAATAATTCCTAAGTATTATAATTATTCTTAATCTTCTTAATTATCAAGACTTATTAAATTAATGAAAAATTCTGAGATGAGATCATGAAATGTTTACGAAATTTTTCGAGAATGAGAAACTAACAAAGAAAAAATGAATCCGCTACTTTTTATAAATAAGAAGAGTGAAAATTTACAGAACTAAAATATTCTGTCAATTATAATTGATCTTCATATAAATGATTTCAATTTTATGAATAACTTGAAAGAGAACAAATGTTTCTTCTCAAAAATTCAGAAATACTTAGTACAAAAAAATTAGGCAAAAATGTTTAAAAATTGATATGTTGGGAAATTGGAAAACTTACCTTGGAAGCAACATAAAAAACGGATTTTATATAAAAAAAATTCTTATTGATTCATTGGAGCTAACTCGTGTGATTGTTGACCATTTGTATTTGTACTTTGTCCAAGTTGAGCCAAACCGGATTCTCGCCATTTTCCATTTTCTCCATTTAGATTTTTGTCTTCGCAAATGCAGAGGAACAGCGTGTCGATAATTGTCTAGAACGGAAAATGGTTATTTTTAGCAAAAATTATCTTCGTTTGCAAAATTACTAGCAAACAAAACAAAGAAAATATTTGTTTAATATGTAATTAATAACATAACGAACAGTATTTAGGCCTTTTTGTTATAAAACAATAATAACAAAGAAACAAATTGAAGTTAAAAAGTAATAATTAATAACATAAACCGTTATTTAGGTCTTTGTTACAAAATAATAATAACAAAGAAAACAATTGAAATTAAAAAGTAAAAATTGAAGTTCAAAACTAAAAATTAAAATCATAAAGTAAAAATTGCAATTAGAAACTAAAAATTAAAATTAGAAACTAAAAGTTAAAATTAAAAAGTAAAAATAGAAATAAGATGAAATAGAAATAGAATTAAAAAAATAATTCAATTAAACTCACCTCGTAAAGTGAAATGACGCAATGTGCGATGAAAAAGGCAAACAGGCAAATGACAAATACCGGCGCTGCATAAAAATAGAGTCGAGTATTGTGTTTTAGAAAAAGTAAACCAATACTTCCAGTAGCGGCGGTCACGAAACATTTTCCCAAAAAGAGAATAAAGTCTCCCACGCTGTTGATCACTGCAATTTGAACTGCATTGCTGACAATTGTAGCAAAAGCCTTTTTTTAAAAAAGAGAAATTTTTTTTATTAGAAACCAAAAAAACAATGTGTAATTAAATAATTAAGAAATGTCAAAAAAAAAAAAAAAGAAAATCACTTACTACTCTCGCAGATTTACAAAAATTTGTCCCCTCTATTGCCACCACAGTGTAGGCATTGTGATTCATAAAACGAATAAACTTCTCCAAACAGTAAAAACAACAAATACAACATTTTAGGCCACATTGAGCGCAAGGTGAAGTTTCTTTCGTTTTTTCGAATCTGAAAATTGGATTTTTATATTACATTTTATATTACATACAATGAATTACAACCAATAAATAATATCAAATAGCATTAATAATATTAAATAGTATTAAATTAAATATTAAAACAATAAAATTACAACAAAATGGAATTGAATTGGATTTTGATATTAAATAGAGTTAAAGAAACAAATAATAAATTATAGTAACAATAGCAAGAATAATATCAATAAAAGTAAGAAGTAAAATAACTAAACAAATTAAAAATAAAAACTTACTTCTGATGCAAGAATGTGAGAATTAAACGTGGCAATTTGAAGAGAGTAATTAGAAATGATCCACAGGCAACGGAACCCAAGTGATAGCAGAATAATGTTCCTAATGCTGAGCAAACTGGTGAAGGACTCGCATCTTTGCCTCTGAAATTTTTTAATTACTTTATTTTTCTGTGAGTGATAAACTAAATTTATATTATTACAAAATACAATTACAGGGCTGGAATAAGTGAAAGTATTTAAAAATACTTTTACATTTTATTAAAACCATAAATTAAATTTTTCATAACTATAAAACATGAACATATCGATAACTCCGAGTTCGGAGTGATTCGACTCGGAGTGATCGATTTTTTTGTTTTATAATCATTAAAGACGACCGAGTGATAAAATCATTATCAATTCAATTATTATTTTTAAGGATTTTGTAACTAAAATTCTTCTTTAAATCGATTATTTTTAATAATTTTCGAAAAAGTTCATTGACAATTTTCAAATCCATTTTTTGTTAACAATATTTAATTTTACGAAAATACAATTATTTCGTAAATTCTTCAATTAAATATAATATTAGAAAATAAAAACTCTAAATAATATAAAAAAAATTTGAATATAAAAAAAATTCAATTATTGATAAAAATTTACGCTATATTACTTTTAATATTAAATTATAATCTAAGGTTCTGAAATTCATTTTTATATCAATTATTATTAGAAAATTCTACTAGAATTCAATTATTTAAATAAAAAAAACAATTTATTGAATAATTAAATATTTCTTAAAATTCAATTCCCATAAAGAATTCGAAAAATTTGATTAAAATTGTATTAAAAATAATTAAAATTCTGCGATGAATTTTATTATTTGTGAAAGTTATTGAATCCCTAAGAAGAATTTTTTTATTTTTGAAAAAACATTTAATTTTTGCGAAGAATATTATTACTCTTGAAAATAATTGAATTTCTTAAATAATTTGTATCTTTTCCAAAATTAAATTTTTTTTTGTGTTTTTAACTAAAATTCTTCTATAAATGCATTATTTTAAATAATTTTTGAAAATGTTCTTTGTGAATTTTCAAATTTATTTGTTTTCAATTCAATTCAATTTAAATATTTATAAAAATAATTTAATTCTTGCGAAGAATTTTATAACAATTTTTAAGTAATTGATTTCATTCACCTAATTTAATTCAACTTCTAACTTAAATAATTAAATTCCTGAAAAATTTTTATTATTTATGAAAATAAATGAATTGTCACGGAGATTTTTACAAACAATTTTTTTAAATAATTGAATTCTGTTTGGAAATTTTATGAAAATCGTAGATATTGAAAATCATTAAATTGCGAAAAGTTTTTAAAAATAATTAAATTTTACAAAAAAATTCTATTAAAATTTTTGCTAATAAATTAATGTCTGTGTGGTATTTTATTAAATTTTTTTTGAAAATAATTGAATTCCTAAAAAGCATTTTATTATTTATTAAAATAATTGAATTTTGCAAAGAATTTTATTAAAATGCCTTAAAATAATTGAATTTTCGGGAATAATTTTGTTATTTATCTTTAATAATTGAATTCTTTCGAAGAATTATTTATGTAAATAATTGAATTTTTGGGAGGAATTTTATTAAAATCTAAAAGAATAATTGAATTATTTCAAAAAGATTTAATTAAAATTGTATTTAAAATAATTGTTTTGTTTCGAACAATTTTATTAAAATATTTTAAAATAATTGAATTCTTCTAAAGAATTAAAAAAAAAATTTTTTTTAAATAATTGAATTTTTTTAGGAATTGAAATTAAATTTTTTGATCAATTCCTGTAAAACTTTATTAAAATTTTGAAAAATAATTGAATTACAGAGAAGAATTTTATTATTTTTGAAAATAATTCAATTATTGCGGAAAAGTTTATTATAATTTTTAAAAAGAATTGAATTTCTGTGAAAAATTTTGATATTTTTGAAAATAATTGAATTATTTATAAGAATTTTATAAACATTGTTTTAAATAATTAATTTTTCCGAAAGATAATAGATATTTTGAAAATTTTATTTTAAATAATTGAATTCTTGTGTAAAACTTTATTTGTGAAAATAATTGAATTTTTCGATTAATAAATTCAAAATAATATTAAAAATAATTGAAATTCTTTAATGAGTTTTATTATTTATGAAAATAACTTTTCGTCTTTTCTCAATCAAATTACGAACTTTACGGACCTTTTTTTAAAAAAACTGACTTTTACGGACTTGAAGCAAATTTACAGACCTAGTTCGAGCCCCGCAATTATAACTGGAATTTGTTTAGAAAATTTACTCTCTATTTAAGAAAAGAAAAAATATTCTCACACTCACCGAAAATACCAGTGGGCAACAGTTCCAGAAATGACCATATTTTGACAAGCACTGATAAATTCTGAAGTCCAAATCAATCCAATAATATAAACCCACCACATGTACTTTACCCAAGTTGAATCTACATATTCGACGAACGTGAAGGCTGAAAATTAACGTAAACAATTTCAATTAGGAAAAATTTTTAATTGAAATTTATAAAATGAAATTTTTCAAATATTAAATTTTAAACATGAACATTTAATATTAACATTTTAAATAATTAATATTAAAAATACAGACAAAATTTATTGAAATAAATTACTTTTATAATTGTCGAGTCCAATATCAAGGACTTTGTGATCGTCTTGAAAATTCCTTCTCGCAATTGCCGATTCATTGAATGTCGAATCGAATATAAAATTATCGTATTCTTTGACTGGTTTTGTACCTGGATAATCTGAAAATATTCAAAAATATTTTATTATCATTTATCAATAGTAAAATAAAATGAAAATTAAAATACGAAAATATTTATATTTGTAATTACTGGCAGTTGCAAGAGACAGAATAACCGCCACCCAGTAAACGAAGAATAATAATAGCGCCACAAATGTCAGCAGAGGTGTGAAAAATAATCCGGGAAGTTCAGCCAAACACTTGGCGCTCTCTTTAAAAAGTATCGTCATGAATCCAATGTGTTTTCGAAGAGTGATAAGCAAAAAGAGCAGTACTACCTGAAATTTCAATTTCCTTTTTAATAATTAATAATTAATCTCTTTAATAATTAATTCATGTTAAATAAATCCTATGAATAAAATAATTAACTATAAAATAAATTTCCAATAAATCACAGAAGGGATTTATAATTTACGAATTTTAATTTGTTATAAACGAGAAAAAAATGAAAATCACGAAAGAAAATTACAGTTATCACTGTGGCAATTATAGAGAAGGCCAAAAATGCCTTTTCATTTCGAACTGATTCCTCAAGGAGTTGTGAATCATCAGTATTATCCAAGTTCTTCTTTATATCAAAATAAGTCCACCACAATAATCCCGTGCCGGCTGAAAATTCAAATTAAATTAAATTAGTTTCATAATAAAAAGCAAAATTAAATTAAAAAAATAAATACGAATTGCTTACCAACGCAGGAGATGCTGACAAGAACCATTATAATCCAAGTTACGACACTCGCCAATAAATGGAAAATTGCAATCGTCAAGAGAGACAAAACTGAAAATTACAAAAAAAAAGAAATGTTTTTTAATTAAAAACGAAAAAATCGAACTAGAAAAGAAATTTCATTTGAATTAAATATAAATTTAATTTTTAAAAAGAGATTTAATCTATAAAATTAGAGATTTTGTTCGCAATTACCAAAAGCGAGGAATGCGAAGGCCAAAATTTCTCTCCAAGTTTTGTACAAATCGCCCAAAACTTGTTCAATCACATCCCATGAATTGAGGACACCGTATAAATTGGAAACAATGGCTCCGGCCGTTTCTTTAACTGCCTTTGGAATACAACGATTTAAAACTGAAATACTGTCGAAAACTGGCAATCTAGGACATGAGCCAGTTTTATTTTTATTATTACTACTATTACATGCACTGAAATTACTGTCGGGGCTATCGTGACATAATTGTGATCCAGTTTCTCTATAAAATTGACAAACATCATTCATTGTATCCAGTTTGCGATCCGGACATTTTTTCACACAAATTTTCAATGAAGTTTTTACATTTTTCACATCCATGAAGAATAGATACCTATCGAGAATAAAAAATCATAAAAAAATATAAATACAATAAATATTCAATAAAATAAATACAATAAAATATAAAACTAATCAATAATTATTTTTATGAAATATAAATACAGGGCTCGGATCGACTTTAAGGCGCAGAAAAAGTCACTTCAGTCGATTAAAAATACAAAAAAAGTCGAAAAAGTCGTTTTATTTAATTCAGTGTTGTCACAAAAATTTTATTTTTTTATTTTCCTGACCTTTCACTGATTTCTAAATTCAATTATTCAAAAGTTGAATAATTTTGTTAAATAAATATTTAAATACTTCTAATTTGTTTTTCTACAGGAAATAAAATTTTTTAAATTTCAATTTAAAACCTTCTGAATACTTTCTAAAAATTACAACTATAGTCCTTCCAAAATTCAATTATTTTCTAGATTTTTAACTAAATTTCATCTCTAAATCAAATACTTAAAAACAAATATTCAATTTTTTAAAATAATTGTTTATTTTAAAAAGTTATTACGGTATAATATTTTTTAAAAATTGTAATAAAGAAATTCTTAAAATTAATTTTTTTTAAATATTAAAAAATAATTTTTGAAAGATAATAGTGTTTTAATTAAATGTATAATTGAAAAATCTTTAAATAATTGAAATTGGATAAAATCTAATAATAATAATTGAAATTTGATAAAACAGGGTTGCCACAAAAATTAAATTTTGTTTTTCCCTTACTTTTCCCTGATTTCCAGACCAAATTTTGACTTTTTCCCTGACCCTAAAGAATATTCGGATTCACTGTAAAAATGATTAGATATGCTCAAAAAAATGTTCAATTATTTATAAGAATATCATAATAAAACATTCTTCAAAATTATTCTCATCATTTCAATCGAATTATTATTTTCTACATTTTTTCACTAAAAATCTTATTTTAAATAAATTATTTTTAATAATTTTTGATAATTAGTTCTTTTGAGAATTTTCAAATTCATTTGTTTACAATTCAATTTTACGAAATTTCGATTATTTTGAAATTCTTCAATTAAATATACATTGGAAAATAAAAATTTAAAATAATTTAATAATATAACTTGAAAAATTTCGAGTAAGCTTTTTGAAAAATTAGTTCCATAGAATTTTTAATTAAAAGTATGAAAAATTCAGATTTTCAAAGATTTTAATTTGAAACCTTTACAAAATTCAATTATTTCTAAAAATTGCAATTATTAGTAACTTCTCCAAAATTCAATTATTATCTAAAAATTTAACTGAAATTAATTTTTAAATCAATTTTTATATTAGAAAATTCTACGAGAATCCAATTTTTTAAATACAGATATAGATAATTATTAAGTAATTGAATGTTTCTTAAAATTGAATTTTTATAGGGTAAGTGCGTCAATTGCTGCGGGTGCTTCAGTTTCTGCGGCATTTTAATAATTTAAGTGAATACATTTGTTCAGGGCACAAATAATTTTGAAATTTTTTTTAAAAATTACTTAACGATGTAAGTTTTAAAATAGATATAGGAAGTATATACCAAAACTTAATATTTATGTATTTTATTTTAATTAAAAGTTGACGTGTTCAAGGTTTTATTTATTTTCATTGCTAACTTTGCTGGCGGTGCAAAAATACCTACATAAAAAAGGCTTTATTATTGTTTTTAGACTTAAAGTGGTTATTACTATGATGATTTTAGATAAAGAAAACCTTGTTTTAAAAGAAAAATTAAACTTTACTTTATTTTTGTCTGTTATTATATTTTATTTTTAAGAGTAGTAATTAACACAGAATTTGGGCTTGATTTAATTTCTGCGCCCTCAGAAAATCAACTAAGACTGGTTACAATAGACTATCTATTTTGAAAAAGAGCAAGAAAAAATTATGAAAATGAAAGAAAAAATGAAGATTATGGAGGAAAAACTAAAGAAAATTTAATAAATACATAAATTAATTAAGGAAGAATTCTGTTATTAAGTTTTAACTAAATGTTTCAAAAATGTGATAATTCAGAAATTATTTGTTACTTTTGTTAATATATGATATATATTTATTTTTAATAAATTTATATTCTATTCAATTAAACATTGATTAAAATCATTGTCCCATTTTGATTTCATAGTAGTTTGCGGTATTATACACATAAACACGAAATTATGCGCAGAAACTGACCCACAGGAATTAAATTCGCGCAGCAACTGATGCGCAGCAACTGACTCAAACGCGCAGAATTAAACGCATTGAATATTATTTTTAATTCATTAAATTTATTAAAATAAATTATATTTTAGAGATGTTATTTATTGTAAACATATCTTAATAACACAAACTACAAATTTAATAAGACATAAGTTCAATTTGATCAATATAAAAATTATATTTTATAGTTAAAAGACGTCTTGACCAAAATACCGCAGGAATTAGTACACTTACCCTACATAATTTTATCAGGAAATTTTTAAATAATTGAGTTCTTTCGACGAATTTTAATAACATTTTTAAAAATAATTACGTGTTTCGAGGAATTCGATTAAAATTGTATTAAAAATAATTGAAATTTTGCAACGAGTTTTATTATTTATGAAAATAATTGAATTATTGCGAAGAATTTTATAACAAAAATTTCAAAAAATTGGAATATTATCAAAATTTTTGTTTATTAATTGAATTCTTTTGGTAAATTTTTTAAAATAGTAGAATATTGAAAATTATTGAATTAAGAAAAAATTTTGAAAATAATTGAAATTTTGCCTTGAATTTTATTAAAATTTTTGAAAATAATTGAATTTTATTACCTTTGAAAATAATTGAATTATTCTTTTCATGAATACTATTATTTATGAGAATAATTGAATTTTGCAATGAATTTTATTAAAATTCCTAAAAATAATTGAATTTTGTCGAGGAATTTTGCTATTCATTTATAGGATAATTGAAATGTTAACGACAATTTTTTTTAAGATTTTTTGAAAATATTTGAATTTCTGCGAAGAATGTTATTAATTTTGAAAATAATTGTATTCTTGAGATAAATATTGTTATTTATGAAAATAATTGAATTTTTTAAAAATTCCTGAATATAACTAAACTGAACTAGACTAAACTTTAAAAAAACTGATGTGAAATTTAGTAAAGTTATATTAGAATTTAATTAATATTCTGAATATTTGATATAATTATACTAAGTTTCTTTAAAATTTAGTACTTCTTATATAAAAATTTCGCTTCGTTGCACTTTTCCCAAGTTTGTAAAATACTTTTACAAAATTTAATAAAGATTCTCTCTCCGTGTAAACATTTAATTTTTTCCAGTACTTTTTATAAAAATCTCTGACTTTTCCCTGACCAATTCTACTTTCCCTGACTTTTCCATGATTTCCCTGACCTGTGGCAACTCTGTAAAATCTATTAAAAATAATTGAAATTTGATAAATAATTTTAAAAATGAAAAAATTTTTGAAAAATATAAAAAAAATTAAATTTTTCTAGAATTTTAATTATAAAATAATATGAACATGTTTTTTCCAAAATTTTATTAGGTCTGAAAAATTAAATTTTTAAGAATTTTAATTTACTTTGTTCGTAGATAATTGATTGTTAAAAAAGTATGATAAAACATTTCTAAGAATTAGTTTTTTAAATATTTTGTTCTGTAATTTTTTGAAAATAATTGAATTTCTTAAAAGCATTTCTGTAAGTTATAGAAAACTAATAAATTTTTTTGAAGATTAATTAAAAATTTTGAACATAATTGTGTTCGCCAAAAGGTTAAAAATAATTTTAAAAAGTTTTAATGTCATTATTTTTTGTGTGTATTTGAATTTTTTGAAATATGTAAGTGAAAATATTGAAATTTTTAAAATTTGAAAAAATTAGAATGGAAAAATTCTAAGAATTTCTTTTTTCTAAAATATTTTAATATAATTTTTAGAAGAAAATTTTCATTAATTTTTATTTTGCAATCATGTTTACAATTTACACTTGAAAATTATTCATTAAAATTTTTGAGAATTTAATTATTTTAAAAATTTACAATTAAAATTCTTAAAAAGTTGATTTTCATAAATTGTAATAAAATACTTTAAAAAAATTAAACCATTTTCAATTAAATTTGACAAAATTTTAATTATTCTACAATTTTTTAATTATACGTATATTTTTAAAATTTTATTATCGTAAAAATTATTTAAATAAATAATTTTGAAAAATTTGTCTAGTTATACTTTTCACACTATAAAAATCGATCATAAGTTGCATTTTATACTAAAAATGTGGTATTTTGTTTGCAACATTTGGAAAAAAAGTCGAAAAGTCGCAATTTTTGAAAATAAGTCGAAAAAAGTCGCATTTTTTGAAAGAAGTCAAAAAAAGTCATAATATCCGAGGTCTGTAAATATTATATAAAATTATAAAAATTCCACCAAACGCAAGGAATGCGAAGGCAAAATTTCGAAAAGAAAACAAAAAGTAAAAATATGTTTTCGAAAAAAAATTAACTCACGGTTTCTCGCTAGTATCCTGACCGGATAATTCCATATTTCCAAATTTAGGATTATTTTTCACTCCGCAGGTGTTTCCGAAACTATCATATCCATTTATTAATCTTATTGGATTTCCATAAACAAAGGCAAACGCAGCGATTAGAATCTAAAAAGTGGAAGTAATTTTAGTTTACTGTGCAAATTGATTTTTTCGGAGCGGGTACAAAATATTACAATAATAATGAATATAATAAAAAAAATACACCTATTCCCTTGAATACAATTTAAATATAAGTAGCTAAAAACTTAAGATTGAAGATAAAAAATATTTAAAATAGCTCCATAATGAATTAATCAATGTAAGAAAATATTTAACAATCAATAACAATTAAAAGTCGTAAAGTAACGCGCGCTCTACTCGACATTAATATTATTTACTATATATAAAAACTTGTGAAAAAAATAAAACTAAAAATACAACGAATTTTCATCGATAATAATAGATTTTAAAATTTACCAAACTTATTAATCAATGATAATTTATTACAATAAAAATAAACGAGAAGGAAAAAGTTTATTGTTGATAATTTTTAGGTTATATTACCATTAGGGACCAAAATAAAATGAAAAGAACGAGCCAAAATATATCGGTACATCCTCGAATGTGTGTAGGTGCAGAACGTTGTTCTTCTTCATCGTCACAACCACAACAACCCATTTTTTTAAACAAACTAAACACGAAGCCGCTCCAATAAACAATGCTGATGGGTGTTTGCAATTTGCTTCTCTTGTTTGTACTTGTCGTCGGCTCTTTCCGTACAATTTCGAGAGTATTCGGAAAAACCCTTTTTAATTTAAAAAAACTCATTCAATCATTTGAACTGTTTTTTTTTTATTTATTTCGATTAGTAATAAAATTTAAAATTGCTTCTAGTCTCTCAATTTAGTTTTTTATTATAGTAAAAAGTTGGAATTTAATTTTAATCATGATTCAGTTGATTGCAATATGATTCACACCTGTCAAGGATTATAAATGAGTTTATTCTTTATTATTAGTTTCTCATCTATACAAGTGCATAATATAACATTCCGTAGTATCAATTTTGTTTTAAATAAAGTGATTTTGATGATATATTAATAATCGATGTATTAATCTGTTCGAAGTTTAAAGTCAGTTGTTAATTGCTTTTTTGTTTCCTAACTTTTTTAAAAAATTTTCTTTTTAAATATTTTCAATTTTAAAATATTGAAAATCATTGAATTCGCAAAGAATTTTATCAAAAAATTTGATAATAATTGAATTCCTTCGAAGAATTATTTTTATTTATGGAAATAATTGAATTCTCGGGATGAATTTTATTAAAATTTTTAAAAATCCTAATTCAATTCTTTTGAAATATTTCTTTGAATTTTTTTTTTTAAATAATGGAGTTTGTTTAAAAATTTTAATTGGAAATTTTGAAAGAAATTGAATTTTATGAAAAAGATTTTTCTTAAAATTGTATTGAAAATAATTGAATTCCTCAGAAGAATTTTATTATTTATAAAAATAATTGAATTCTTGCGAAGAATTTTACTATTTATAAAAATAATATAATTGAATTGTTCCGAATAATTTATTAAAACTTTAGAAAATAAATTAATTTTATGTAAATATTTAAAAATAATATTTTTTATTTATGAAAATTTATTTATTTATTTATTTATTAATAAACGGGTTAAAACATGAAGATATCAATTACTCCGAGTCGAAGACTCGGAGTAATTAAAATAATAAAAATTAAAATAAATAATTAATTAATTAAAATAATAAATTTTTAATTTAATTATGAAATTTTTCTGAGGATTTCAATTATTTATAATACAATTAAAAGTAAATTCCTATAGAAAAATGGAATTATTTTCTTAAATTTTTTGCAAGAATTTAATTACATTTCACGAATATAATAAAATTCTTCGTTGTAATATATCTTGTATCTTCATGTTTTATAAAAATTTTAATTTCCATAAAATTTTTCAAAAAAAAAAAATTTTATTATTTACAAAAATTATAATAAAATTCGTTGCAAGAATTCAATTATTTTCATAAACAATAAAATTCTTCACAGGGTTTCAATTATTTTTAATACAATTTAAAATAAATTTCTCGAAAAATGAAATTATATTCAAAAATTTTTTCCAAGAATTAAATTACATTTCACAAATAATGAAATTCTTCGCTGAAATTCAAAAATTATTAAAATTTACTATTTTAATAAAAGTTCTCAAAAGAATTTCATTATTTAAATAAAATGTAATAAAATTCGTTGCAGGAAATCAATTATTGTTACAAGTAATAAAATTTTTCAAATGAATTCAATTATTTAAAAAAAAATTGATAAAATTCGTATGTTTTAAGAATTCCATTATTTTCATAAATTATAAAATTTTTCTGAGGATTTCAATTATTTATTATACAATTAAAAGTAAATTCCTATAGAAAAATGGAATTATTTTCTTAAATTTTTTGCAAGAATTTTATTACATTTCACGAATATAATAAAATTCTTCGTTGTAATTTAAATATTTTAAAAATCTACTATTTTAATAAAAGTTCTCAAAAAATTCAAGTAATTAAAAAAAAAAAATGTAATAAAATTCGTTGCAAGAATTCAATTTATTATTTTCATAAATAATAAGATTCTTTACATTATTTAAATTATTTAAAAAAAAATTTGAAAAAAGTCATTGCAAGAATTCAATTACTGTCATAAATTAATAAAATTAATAAAATAATTAATAATAATAAATTTAATAATTTATAATTAATAAAATTCTTCACAGGATTTCAATTATTTTTAATAAAATTTTAAGTAAATTCTTTAAAAAATGTAATTATTTTCAAACATTTTATTAAAATTCTTCGAAAGAATTCAATTATTAATTATTTTTAAAAATTCATGCTATAATGCTTTTAATATTCAATTATTATCTAAATTTTTAACTGATATTCATTTTTATGTCAATTTTTATTGAAAAATTCTACGAGAATTCAATTATTTAAATACAAAAATAAATAATATATTAAATTAATGAATGTTTCTCAAAATTGAATTATCATAAAGAATTTTATCAATAAAATTAAATTTTTTCGAGGAATTTTAATAGAATTTTCAAGAATAATTAAAGTTTTCGAGGAATTCAATTGCAATTGTATTAAAAATAATTGAAATTCTATGATGAGTTTTATTATTCATGAAAATAATTGAATTAAATTCTTTAAAGAAATTCTATTAAAGTTGTTTCGAAAATAATTGAATTTCTTTAAAGAATTTTATTAAAATTAAGTATTCATAATAATTTAATTCATCAGAAGAATTTTATTATTATTTAAAACTAATTGAATTCTTTCAATTTTTTTGGCGAATATATATTTAAAAATTGCATTGAAAGTAATTTAATTTTCATATAGAATTTTTTAAAAATATTTTGAGAATAATTGAATTATTTTTAGAGAATTTTAAATTCTTGTAGAAATAGAATTTTATGGCAATTTTTGAAAATAATTAAATTCTTTCCTATAATCTTATTTTAATTGTATTAAAAATAATTTAATTCCTGCAAACAACAAATTTTAGTATTTATAAAAATTGTTGAATTGTTTCAAAGAATTTATTAAAATTTTATAGGAGATAATTGAATTTTATGGAAATATTTGAAAATATTTAAATTCTGCCGAGGAATTCAATTAAAATTGTTTTGAAAATAATTGAATTCCTACAAAGAATTTTACTATTCATAAAAATAATTGAATTGTTTCGAAGGATTTATTAAGATTTTAGGAAATAATTGAATTTATTCGAAATATATTACAATTTTTTTAAAAAATTGAATTCTTTCGAGGAATTCAATTAAAATTATTTTGAAAATAATTGAAATTTTGCAAAATTTTACTGTTTAATAAATAATAAAATTGTTTCGAAGGATTTATTAAAATTTATGAAAATAATTGAATTTTTTCGTGAAATATTAAAAATAATCGAATTTTTGCAATGAATTTTACTATTTATAAAAATAATTGATTTCTTCTGAAGAATGTTATTATTTATATAAAAATAATTGAATTCTTGCGAAGAATTGTATTAAAATTTTTGAAAATATAAACAATAATAATTAAAATTAATCTATTTAGGTAGATAGAATTTGGAAAAAATTTAATTCAGTCACAATTAGAAGTGAAATAGAACTTTTTATTATCTGGATTAAATCCGATATCTCATTAAAGTATATAAAGTAACACTGCTACCCAAGGTTAGCTTTAAGTTTTAATTACAATAATCAAAAATGAAAATAAATATATATGTATCATAAAAGACAACATTAGTTTTTTTTTCTTCTTTTCTTTTTGAATGAACAAGAATGAACAAGAATAGAGACTATTGTTATGTATTTAATTTTTGAGTTGATTCGGTATTTGTTCTAGACATTGAGAGAATTGGTAAATGACGCCATCGAACTTCATCTTGATCAGAGGTTGCTGTTGTTGTTGTTGGCGAAGAAAAACCCTCGAGACTTAATTGTAATGCGCGTCTCAATTCGTCATCCTCCTCATCATCATCATTCTCAGCTTCCTCAAGTAAACGTGTTGCATTCTCATCGGATGCTAAATCTAAACGCAATGCAAGTGGATTTTTAACATCATCATTTGCATCTTCCAAACTCAATTGAAGTGCACGTTGCAATTCGGCATCCTCATCGTCCTCTTGCTCAGAACCCTCTAATGTTATTACAGGAATAATTCTCTCTAATTTTGCAGATTTTTCTGTTTCGGATTTAGTGAATATTTGCGAATTTCGATTGTTTGATGAACCTGAAGTTGAACAACTGGCACTGTTTAGGGATGATGATGGTACTTTTACTTCACCGATTCCTTCCAAAGCCGTTTTTAGTAATTTCGCTTCGTTGTCGAGTTTATTTTCGAGATTTTTGTTTACTTTTGAATTCTCGGAATTTTGCCTCTGTTTCTCAGGATATCGCAAGAGATATTCGTCTGCCTCGCATGGTGGAAAATTGCCAATCACGATGAAAATTGAGTACCCTGATTAAATAATATTTTATTAGCGAAAAATATTGTTTAAAAGCAAAATAAAAAAAAACGAAATAAAAAGGAAAAGTTTCGTTATAAGACGACTAATTATTAGCAAAAAATATTTACCTTCTTGAATCAATTGAGCTAAGAACATTGCTAAATATGTGTTTGTTATGAGTTGCGGTCCATTCATCAGGGAATTTAAATTAAACCACTGTGTGCCTAATTTTCTAATTGTGAACCAATGATCTCTGTAGTTGCAGATATACGCCTTCATTTGTCTGCAAACGAATAAAAATTAAATTATGTACAATTCCTTTTTGTTTACACAAAAGAAAATGTCAAAAATTAAAACTTACGCCGGATCACTTTGAGCCATCAAAGCAGTTGGCTCCGTACTGTTGTACGGAATAAGATCAAGACCCCAAAAATCAAGAGCACTATTGATAACTTGTACCGAAAAGTATCCACTATCATCCACATTGCCCGATGGTTGCTAGAAATCAGAAAAAAAATTGTAAATCCGTAATGTATGAAATTTAGGGTTGCCACAGGTCAGGGAAATCAGGGAAAAGTCGGGGATTTTTATTAAAAGTACTGAAAAAAACAAAATGTTTAGAATTTATAAGAAAATTCTGAATTTTTGAGCCTTTTTTTCCTGACAATAATTTATTTTAAATAATTAATTCTATTAAAGAACTGCCATAAATTTATAAATATCAAAATTCTTCGCTGAAATTCAATTATATTTATTTATTTATTTATTTATTTATTTATTTATTTATTTATTTATTTATTTATACATATAAACGGGCAGTGCCCTTTCGTACATAGAGTACTAAGAATTACAAATTAAATAGAAAGTAATATAATACGAAGTTATGACAATCTAATTAGTATTATATTCAGGAATTTAAATAAAATTCATTGAAAAATTCAATTATTTTTATAAATAATAATATTCGTCACAAGAATTCAATTATTTTCAAAAGTAAAAAAATTCAATTATTTTCAAAAATTTTAACAAAATTCATGACAAAATTTCAATTATTTTCAATATTTTACTATTTTAATAAAATTCCCCAAAAGAATTCAATAATTAAACAAAAATTTTGATAATATTCTACACGAAAATTCAATTATTTTTAAAAAGAATTAACATTTCACTGGAATTTAATAATGTAAAATAGAATTTGCAAACATTTTTTTTCGAAAAAATCAAATGTTTCAAAATTTGGCATTAAATTCTTTGCAATAATTCTATTATTTTTTATAAATTTTAAAACTCTTTTCAGGGATTTAATTATTTTCATAAATAATAAAATCATTCGGAGGAAGTCAATTATTTTTATAAATTACAATATTTCTCACAAGAATTCAATTATTTTCAAAAGTAATAAAAATTCAAATTTTCAAAAATTTTAATGAAATTCATTGCAAAATTTCAACTATTTTCAAAAATTTTTCTTAATTCAATAATTTTCATATCTATTATTTTAATAAAATTTCCCAAAAGAATTCAATTATTTAAAAACAATTTTGTCAAAGTTCTACACGAATATTCAATTATTTTCTAAAATAATGAAAATTTCACAGGAATTCAATTATTAAAAATAGAATTTGCATGCATTTTTTCGAAAAGAATAAATTTTTTGAAACTTTTTTTCATAAAATTCTTCGTAATAATTCAAATATTTTCATAAATAATAAAACTCACTGCAGAATTTCTATTATTTTTAAACAATTTTAATCGAATTCATCGAAAAATGTAATTATTCTTAAAAATTTTATTGAAATTCTTCGAAAGAATTCAATTATTTAAAAATTTGTTGATAAAATTTTGAATAATTTTGTAAAGGTTTTAAATTAAAATCTTTGAAAAATTGAATTTTTCATACTTTGAATTAAAAATTCTATGGAATTAATTCTTTTCAAAAAGCTTAATCGAAATTTTTTAAAATTATTTCAAGTTTTTATTTTCTAATGTATATTTAATTGAAGAATTTGAATATCTATCATTTAATTAAAATTGTATTATAAATAACTGATTTTTTTCGAACAATGTTATTAAAATATTTGAAAATAATTGAATTCTTCCAAAGAATTAAAAAAGAATTTTTTTTAAGAATTGAAATTAAATTTTTAAGAATAATTACATTTTTTGAGCAATTCCTGTAAAACTTTTTTTTTAAATTTTCAAAAATAATTGAATTATTGCAAAAAAATTTATTTAAATGTTTAAAAAGAATTGAATTTCTGTGAAAAATTTTGATATTTTTGAAAATAATTGAATTCTTTACAAGAATTTTATAAACATTGTTTTAAATAATTAATTTTTTCGAAAGATACCTAATAAATATTTTGAAAATTTTATTTTAAATAATTGAATTTTTTGATTAATTAATTAAAAATAATATTAAAAATTTATAATTGAAATTCTTTGAAGAGTTTTATTATTTATAAAAATAATTGAATTTTTGCTTAGAATTTTATCAAAAAATTTTTTTAAAAATTGAATTTCCATGAAAAATGTTATTATTAGTAAAAGTAATTGAATTATTGTGAAAAAATCGTATAAAAATTTTGTTAAATAATTGATTTTTTCGAATTTTTTTTGTAAATGCTATTCTAAATTAATTGAGTTTCGGTAAAAATGTTATAATTTATGAAAATAAATGAATTTTAGATGAATTGTATCAATTTTTTTTAAATAATTGAATTCTTTTGCAAAATTTTATTAAAATACTATAGATATTGAAAATAATTGAATTTCGAATATTTTTTTAAAGTAATTGAATCATTTTACAGAATTTGATTATAATTTTTAAGAAAAGTTTTTTGATTTCTACTATTAGTGAATTGAAAGTAGTGGAAATTCATAAGAAAAAACAGAAATAGTAGCTTTTAATGGCTGAAATCTAAAAAAAGTACCGAAATAGTAGCATAACGTAAAAAAAGTAGTAAATAGTAGGTTTTAGTAAATGAGTGCGAAGCCTGGAATATTCTTCAAGGTCAGGGAAAAAGTGAAAATTTTGTCTGGAAATCAGGGAAAAGCAAAATTAAATTTTTGTGGCAACCCTAAAATTGAACACCAACCCAACACGAATAACCCAATTTTTCATAGATTGAAATCAAAAGAAAATATTGAAGAAACCAAGCAAAAATCGTAAACTATTTGTATGTTAGACCTCTTTAGTGTTTATATTTACTACCTATTCTATAGTTTACCAAAATGACTGAAAAGGAAAAAAAAGGGAAACAGATCGAAAATGTAGGTTATATACCTTTGTGCAAAAGCGAAATTCAGAGTGAAATATTGACATATAAAAAAATACTTTTTATCATAAATTTCTACCTCTAAAAATTGTCTATAATCTTCACTGTCGACTCCGGATTCTGCCATTCTTAATCTCTCCTCCTCGTCCATTTGATGAGCCAAATTAGCAAGATCGACTGCATTGAAATACGGTCCTTGTAGAAGTGCATTTAAACAATGTTGAGCGCAAAGATAACCCTCTTGCTATTTTATTAATAAATAAAAACGTTATTTCAAAAACAATTATTCAGCTAAAGCGGAAATAAATAGAAATGATTCATTGAATGTATTAAATGCGTTTCAAACACTTTACCTTCTCGTGAAATATTTTATCCATTCTGATTAGTCTCAGTAAACACTAAACTGTAATTTACTTTCAAATAACTTTTTAAAAAATAACAGCAAATTATAATTTTATAAATGTCACTTGCAAATCAATCTTTTGTTTTTTTTCACAATACACTTTTTTTTGGGTTTACAAATCGCCCCTTATGTTTTATTCACTGCCTTGCCCTCAGGTGGTGATCATTAAGGTGGGATAACACTTCTTTTGGTGCACATGCATGCGCATGCACCCACAAGTGAATTACGAAATCTTATTGGCTACTTTCAATTTGTCGGACAACTGGTAAAAGTAAAGAACCAATGGAAATTATCAATCTTATCAATTTACTAACTGTGACTTGAAAAATAAACAGTGAAAAAATAAAACCGGTTCTTAAATATCACTTATCAAACATACTATTTTTAAAATTCAAACTACACGTTCCAGACAAGTAGTGTAATTCGTATTAATAATCAAACTTTATAGATGCCTTGATAAAGAATAATTGAAACAAATCGTCTTGAATTTACCGCCAGTTGTCCTCCAATCGGAAAGCGGTATATCAATTCCGTTACACAAGTCAATTTTACAAAATGGCGCAAAGAGGTGTGAGTTACTGTGTCTAATTTTGGTTTCTACTCCCTTTTTTCTTCGATTTATCCCCCCGAATGGATTTCTAATTGTAAAGTAACTAGTAAGTATTTTAAACCAATAATCCATGTAACAAAATCATCTCGAAATAGTTCAAATTTCGTGTTTAAAATTAAAGAAAATTCTTTCTCAAATCAAAGGTGTTTGTGACCAATGCCATTTTCATCTGTTAAAATAACGGCTTCGAGAAGAATTCCCCCGACAAGACAAGAAGATAACAAATCCAACGTTTCTAAAATCGAATGTCTGGATAAATTTCTCACGAGATGAGGAATTAAAACACGTGGCATGAAGTTTTACTTGGTGAAGTAAGTCATTATATTGTTTATCAAAAAACTAACAATGCGTCTAATAATAATGGCGATTAATTGTTTCCCCCGCTATGCTTTTGTTTTTACTTGCAAAAATTGCTTTGTTTGTCCTTTTGTTTCGAATCCTAACGCTTGCATTAACCGTTTTTTTTCATTTTGCGATCAAAGTTACACAGTTTTTTTTTTACAAAATGCATTTTTTTTAACTGTTTGATTAATATAGATGTGTATTTATGCAATTTAAATGCACCAAGGGTATATATTTAAAACTCGGATTTCCGTAAATGTTCTGCTTGAAATACTTCCATTATTAAAAAACGGTTTAAAGTGTGCCTAATGCAAAATTACATAATCTCTCGATTGACATAATTACATTTCTCCGTTGGTGATAAAAATCAATTTGGTCTATATATATAATATATCGCAGTCATTTGTGAAAATTCTATTTCAAAATGAGTCTAAAATTAGAAAATCTAATTGCTTTACTAGTCACGCATCATTCTGAAGATATTTTCGGATTATCGTTCGTTTTTACCAAAAGTGGAAATGTAATTATATTTAAAATTTTAAAAACCTTCTTAAAGTTCTTTTTTCTATTTTTAAAATTTTAAATGCGCTCTTCCTTCTCCAAAATTAGAGGTTATGTTTTTTTTATATAATTTTCGAAAAGATTACTTTGCGCCTGGGTGTAATTAATAATTATTCTTTATTAATTGGTTTGCAATGTTGATAATAGTAATTATTATTAATATTATTATTATTATTATTAGAATTTTGTTGTGACAAATTGACATTTGAGAGAAGGAGGAATTTTTAAATGTTTAGAACTTTGGAACTTTAGAAAAGTGATTAAAAATTTTATTTTCTTGTTAATATTAATTATACTTCTATAACTATAATGAAATTTTGTGGTAAATATACTTTTGAGCTAAATTAAAATAATATCGTTTGGCCATTATCCTCTTCGTTTGTCATTGAAAAATGCTCAAAATTTTGATAAGTAGAAAATATTTAATTAGAAAAGAAATTATTACAAAAATTATTTTAAAAAATTGTTAGAAAGAAGATTATTTAAACAAAAGGGCAATGTATGATTGTTTAAACAAAAGAAGTTGAGAAAATCGGAAACATGGAGAGACAGGGTGTCCGTAATTTGTTTGAAAAAGAACGAAAAAATAAATTATAAATTGTACGATATAATTTGGAGAATTTTTGAAAAGTTACAAATGATTGCAGAATTTCATTTATTTTTAAAAGTAATTAAATTCTTAGCAAAAATTCAATTATGATTCAAAATTTTGAAAGATTCTCGTCAAAATTTCAATTATTTTTATAAATAATAAAATTTTTCTCCTAAATTCAATTATTTTCAACAATTTTAAGAAAATTCTCGTCGAAATTTCAATTATCTGACAGGGCTCGGATTGTGCGACTTCTTCGACTTTTTTGTGAAAAAATGCGACTTATCGACTTTTTCGAGATTTTTTTTAGTAAAATGCGACAGAAATTTAAAAAAAAAATTTTAATTTAAAGGAAAAAGTTTGAGTCAAAAAAATGATCTGTTACATTTATTTACAAATTTCTTTCAAATTTTTCGAAAACATCAATAATTTCTTTTTTAAATAAATATTTAATTATTATTTTTCCATAGGAATTAAAATTTTTCAAATTCAAACCTTTTTGAGGAGAATTTTAAAAAAATTGGAAAATAATTTAATTTCTGCCAAGAATTTTCTTACTTTTTGAAGATAATTGAATTTTGCAAAGAATTTTAACAGAACTTTTGAAAATAATTAAATTTCTAGGATGAATTTTATTATTTATGAAGATAATTAAAATTTTGACGAGAAATTTAAAAAAAAATTTTAAATAATTGAATTTCTAGGATGAATTTTATTATTTATAAAGATAATTGAAATTTTAACAAGAATTTTATTAAAATTTTTGCAAATAATTGAATTTCAGAGAAGAATTTTATTACTCTCAAAGATAATTGAAATTTTGAACAGATTGTTTTAAAAATGTTTAAAAGTAATTGAATTTTGATATTTATAAAAATAATAAATTGAAATTTTGAAAATAATTTAATTTCTGCCAAGAATTTTATTACTTTTGAAAATAATTGGATTTCTAGGATGAATTTTATTAAAAATCTTTGCAAATAATTGAATTTCAGAGAAGAATTTTATTATTCACAAAGATAATTGAAATTTTGAACAGATTTTTTTTTAAAATGTTTAAAACAAATTGAATTTTGCAGAAGAATTTTGATATTTATAAACATAATTGAAATTTTGAGGAGAATTTTAAACAAATTTTTGAAAATAATTGAATTTCTGTAAAGAATTTTCTTACTTTTGAAGGTAATTGAATTTTGCAAAGAATTTTATCAGAACTTTTGAAAATAATTAAATTTTTATGACGAATTTTATTATTTATAAAATTTTATTAATTTTGAAAATAATTGTATTTTAGAGAAGAATTTTATTAAAATTTTTTTTAAATAATTGAATTTCGGAGAAAAATTTTATTAGGTATTTATAAAAATAATTGCCATTTTAAAGAGAATTTTTAAAAAAAATGTTAATAATACGGGAATTCTGTATATTTAAGCGGGAAATGTACGGGAATTTTATTTCATGTCTTCGCTGGACACCCTGAGAGAAAATGAGGCGTAAAATGAAAAATTTGATTTTGCGGAGAGAAAAAAAAATTGTTTCTTATTTTTTTTATGATAATTTAATGTTTAATTAACTGGGGCAGATTGCTCAGTTTTTTTAGAGGGGGATTATTATCTCTCTCGAAATATCGGACAGACACACAATTTTCGGTACTTTTCGGTTCTTTTCGATTTTGGAGGGTTTCTGGCTCGTGCCCCAGCCATTCTCTCTCTCTCTCTTTCTCTTGCTTTATACCCCATATACAGTCCCCTCTTTGTCCTGGTGTATGTCCCCCTCCATTATCAAGTGGGACTGAAGATCGGACCTTCCCGGCTTCACCCGGTCTCATTGCCCTTCAGTTCAAATCAAGCCACTCTCAAGTTTAGATCTATATTATTCTATTTTAGACTTTTCTTCACACTATTTTCTCCAATCGAAACTTTTATACTTGAAAAGAAAAGATTGAAAATTACATTCTTTACGAGACATTGCAAACTTTTTGAAATTATTTTTAGGATATTTTGTTATTAAATTATTTTGTGGCTTGCGTGTTTTATAGCATTCGCCGTGTGTGTGTGTGTAAAAGGGAAGCTCTCTCGTGAAACAAGAAAAGGGGAAATCGCGCATGCTCTACGCTCGTAAATGTGAATCAATAAGTTGGAAACAAGGGAAAAAAAATAAAGTGTTCAGTGAAAGTTGTTGACTGTTTAAAATGCGCGTATTTTTTTAAATAAGGGAGAACCAAAGAATTTTTGCTCTTTTTGGAAAACTATTCCAGAATTTTAAATTAAAAAATGAAAAATTTATTGAAAAATTTTGTTTAAAATTGTTTTTTTAAAAAAAAGTGGTTTTTTATAAACAATATAAATTATATTTTGTTCAGGAGAAAGAACGATAAACGGAGTTGGAGAATCGGTCCATGAAAATGATGAGTAGAGAGCAAAGTCTGCATTCCGAGGTCCATTTGTTGTGAAGAAGTGTTATCTGAAATTTTCTATACAACAACCATGGATATAGTGTAGCATTTTTCCTTTTTTTTCTTCTTCTTCTCTTTTCCCGCTCACGGCAGGACGAAGAATCTCGTTATTGACCTCAGACTATTGAATTTTCCTGCGCACTTTTTTTGGCGGGATTTAAACCTGGGAAAAACGAGAGGAGATCCTGTGAATAGAGAGCGAGAAAGAGGGAGAGAGAGAGAGGGACCATCGTTCTTTAAGTTCTTTGAGAATGGATTTAATACCGGGCGGTATGCTCGTACCTGCTAAGATCCAGGATATCAATACCTACCATTCTTCGTTTTACTCGCCACCACCCACTGAAGCGTAAGTCTTTTTTTTCTGTCTTTCCTCTCTTTGCCATTAGCTTTATAGTCATTGGGAGGGAAGAAATGGTAGGAGAACTCCGAAGAAACAGGTCTATACTTGCTTGGTTGCTTTTGCTTGGTTCCGTCACATAGCACAGCAAGTACCAGCAGCATTTATTTTTGCAGTGTTGCCAAATGGTTTCACAATGTATTTTTCTCTTAAGATGCAATTTTTTTTCATCTTTTTTTTTCTGAATTTCTTTATTTTGTTTTTATATTTCATTTTTTGATTTTGTTTTTATTTTCTATTTCCCGTTTTTCATTTTCTATGTATTTGAATTTTGCTCTTTGAAAAACTGGAAAGCATGAAACTCCCTAAGAGGTTTTTCAAATTAATGTCAATTTTCTTGTAGATTCGAGAAGAGGTGATTGACCTGTTATTGCAATTGTGCATGTAATTAATTTTACTTTTTGCATTGTGTGTACATACTTTTTGCAATATTTCTTGGACTAATTTTCCCTGAAAGATAAGACCAGTTACTCCGAAAAAAATGCAATGACAAAAACAAAAGAAAAAAAATGCAATAAGAACAATATTTGCTTTTGGAGTAATAAAAAATTAATTTTTCTTTTTGCGAAATTTTTTCTTTTATAAATTATGAATTTACAGTTTATTAGTCTTTTTAATTATTAATATTATTATTAATATATAATTTTTATTAAAGAAGAAAAATGCAATAAAAACTGGGTTGCCACAGGTCAAAACATTAAATTTTTTCTATCTCTGACAATAATTTATTTTAACGCAATCTTAATAAATATTAAAATTCTTCTCAGAAATTAAATTATTTTCAAAAATTTTAAAAACGTTCTCGTCAGCATTTCAATTACATACATATCTTTATATATATCAAAATTTTTCGACAAACTTCAATTTTATTCAGGAATTTTAATAAAATTCATTATAAAATTCAATTATTTTCATAAATAACAATAAAATATTCATTGCAAGAATTCAATTAATTTCAAAATTAATAAAATTCTTCGCAGAAATTTAATTACTTTCAAAAAATCATAAAAAATTGTCGACAACATTTTAATTATCTTTATAAATGAATAGCAAAATTTTTCGACAAAATTCAATTATTTTTAGGAATTTTAACAAAATTGATTGCAAAATTCAATTAATTTCAAAAACTTTTTTTAATTCAATGATTTTCAATATTCTACTATTTTAATAAAATTTTAAAATTCTTTTCAGGGATTTCTTTATTATAAATAACAATATTCATCGCACAAGAATTAAATTATTTTCAAAAGTAATAAAATTCAATTATTTTCAAATTATCTTACTTAATTCAATAATTTTTTGTATCTATTATTTTAATAAAATTTCCCAAAATAATTCAATTATTTAAAAGCAATTTTGATAGAATTTCAATTACTTTTTAATACAATTTTAATCGAATTCCTCGAAAAATGTAATTATTCTTAAAAATGGTATTAAAATTCGTCGAAAGAATTCAATTTTTTAAAAATTTGTTGATAAAATTATGTATAAGATTTCAATTTTAAGAAATAATCAATTATTTAATAATTAAAAAAAATAGTTAAATAATTAAATTAATTTGAGTAAAAGTTTTAGATAATAATTGAATTTGAGAGAAGTTACTAATAATTGGAATTTTTAGAAATAATTGAATTTTGTAAAAGTTTCAAATTAAAATCTTTGAAAATTTGAATTTTTCACACATTTAATTAAAAATTATTTCAAGTTTTTATTTTCAAATGTATATTTAATTGAAGAATTTCTGATAAATTAAATTGTAAACAAATGAATTTGAAAATTGTCAACAGAACTTTATTAAAAATTTAGAAAAATAATTGATTTAAAGAAGAATTTTCTTTAAAAATTGTAGAAAATAATAATTGAATTGAAATGATGAAAATAATTTTGAAGGAGTTACAGTAACACTATTCTTATATTATAATATAAAATAATGATTTTATCACTCGGTCATCTTTAATTATTATAAAATATGAAGAAATCGATTACTCCGGAGTGATCCATTTAATAATATTTTTATCAGTTATTGAATTCCAAATTGTTTGAATTTAAAATTTTTGAAAATCATAATTCCTATGGAAAAATAATAATAATTAAATATTTATTTTAAAAAAAAGTTATTGGTGTTTTTGAATAATTTTACAATTAAGGAAATTCGTAAATAAATGTAATAGAACATTTTTTTGAGTTTCTAATAATTTTTAGAGTGAATCAGAATATTCTTTAGGGTCAGGGAAAAAGTCAAAATTTTTTCTGTAAATCAGGGAAAAACAAAATTAAATTTTTGTGGCAACCCTGAAAACCAATATTTTTTTTCGAAGTTAATAAGAAATTAATTTTTCTTTCGTAAAATTTTTCCTCTTGTAAATTGCTAATTTGAAATTTATTATTTAAGTATTCGCTTTTTAGAGAACTCGTTTTACATTTTTTATTATTGTCAACAAAAAAAATACAAAAAGAACAATATTTGCTATCAGAGAAATGAAAAATTAATTTTGTTCTAAAATTTGCTAATTTATAATTTTTTGATATTTTATTTATAAATTTATAATTTTATTTATCGAATTATAGTTTTCTTTATATAATTAATAATTTTTAATTAATTGTTAGTTAATAATCACATTTTTAATGTATTCGCTTTTTTTTATGGGAAATTTCGACAGAGGGAATTTAAATATTTAAATCGAAAAGAAACTGTAAATATTATGGAGTTTCGAGTGTTTTGTCTGCAAATTTTCCAAGGTTTTCCAAACAAATAAACTTTTTGCTTATTTACATTCTCGAATTATCGGTCAATTATACTGATTGGGAATGTAAATAAACAAAAAAAGAATTGGAGTCAATGAACTCGAAATGGAAACATAGGTGTAGAGACGAAAAATTAGCTGGTGAATATTTAATTAATGAATAATTTTTAAACAATATTACTATTACTAGAATTATTAAATAATACTATAATACAAAAATTAGCGAATTACTAAAAAAAAACTAAGTACGATGAAAATAATTTCCAGCAAGTGTCGGTATCTATTTTGTCGACTTTGTCAAAAGAACGAAAATTGGTATTTTTAATTTTCTCCCACTAAATAATTATACCAAAAATGTAATTTTCAGTACAAATTCTTTTTGTCAATCGAAATGGAAATTTTTAATCAAAATTCTGTACATTCAGGACGAAATATTTCCTGAATTTACATAATTTTGTTTGAAATCTTTCATTTCGAATTTAATCAAACAAAATTAATTGTCTCTTTGATTTTTCAGCTAAACGGAAAATCGCAAATTTTCGAAAAAGTTTGATCCACTAGAGAAACAAATCAATATTAGACTAAAATATAGGAAGTAAATAGAGAAGAATGAGGAATTTTCGGAGCCGAAAAAATTGGACGAGTGGTGAAGGAGAATTTGAATGTTGATAATACTTTCTCACAGCGGTATTGTTTTTCGAGCATTGAACTCGAAAAAGGGAATTTCTATTCTCTCTCTGTCTATAGAGAGAGAGAGAGAGAGAGAGAGAGAGAGAGAGAGAGAGAGAGAGAGAAAAGGCTTGTGAAGATCCTATTAGTGTGAGGAATAAATAATAATACTGTTATACTCAGAAAAATGTTAGGATGGAGTCTCTCCCTTGACGTGGATACATGTAGTATCTGATAGCCACAGGGTGGAATAAGTCCCTGGGACATCTGGTCACCACCTGCCTCGATTTGCCCTTACACTCTCTCGTGCTACCAACTTCCCCTATCTTTAAACACATATAAAGAGAGAAAGAGAGAAAGCTCTCATATTTCCGCGACATGGCGTTATACATACCCATTACTTGTGCCTTCGTACAAACGTGGACACGAATTTCTCAAACTCAGGTACATTATCGACTGCTCTCATTATTTTTGACTCGGCGAATTGAACTTATTGCCGCTAATGTAACTTGTATCAGTTTGTCCTGGTTTCTTTCTTCTTTATTTCCCCTCTCTTTTTTCTTTCCCTTTCCCTTTCTATTTTCTTCATCTTTCTTTTTTTCCCTTTTCGTAAATTCTGTAAAGGTCCGTAAATTTGCTTCAAGTCCGTAAAAGTCCTTTTTTTAAAAAAAAAAAAGCTCCGTAAAGTCCGTAATTTGAAAGAAAAAGGACAAAAAGTTCGTAAATTGTACGATATATATTTAAAAATTTTGGAGAAATTACAAATGATTGTAGAAATTCAATTATTTTCAAAAATAATCAAATTCTTCGCAGAAATTCAATTATGTTCAAAAATTAAAAAAGATTTTCGTCAAAATTTCAATTATTTTTAGAAATAATAAAATTCTTCTTCCAAATTCAATCATTTTCACAAATTTTAACAAAATTTTTGGAAAAAATTTCAATTACTTTCAAAAATTTTCCTCAATTTAATGATTTTTAATATTTGCTATTTTAATAAAATTTTCCAAAAAAAGTTTAATAAAATTCAACGCAAACATTTAATTATTTCCATAAAATAATAAAAATCTCACAGAAATTCAATTATTTACAATTTTTTTTAAAAGATTTCTTCTTAATAATTATTTTCAATTATTTTCATAAATAATAATATTTTAACAGGGATTCAATTATTTTCGTAAATAAAATTCTTTTTATTCGTCAAAAGAATACAATTATTTAAAAATTTGTTGATAAAATTCTTCATGAGAATTCAATTATTCAATAAATTATTTTTTTTTATTAAATAATAGAATTAAAAATAAATTTCACTTTAAATTTTAGATAAAAATAGAATATTATTTATAGTGTGAATTTTTAGAAAAAATTGAATTTTGGAAAGGTTTCATATATTAAAATCTTTAAAAATTTTAATTTCTCATACTTTTAACTAACAATTTCTGTAGAAGAATTAATTTTGTTTGAAAAAGTTTGTTTCAATTATAATTGAAATTATTTTTATAAAAGTTTTATTTTCTAATATATTGAATTGAAGAA